TTCTCGTTCGGCTTATGCGCACGCAGGCTTCTGTATTATTTAATGTTCTAAATAAAATTCCTTTGGAAATTCCCTTTGGAATAGGTTGTGCAGCTTATTGACCAAATTGATCCCCTCCTTGTTTTATAATATCCGAGGGGACGTTGTTAATCCCCGGCATCTTTCTGAGCTTTAGCGTCTTAATGCTATGCCTTATTTGACCTACAAGCGGTGTGATTGGGGGTTCATTGAAGGGTTCTTCTTCTCGTTGCTGCTATTGCTGATTACCTTCAATATTTTCCATGTTAGAAGGGTTTTAAAGTATGCGCTTGGATCTCAAACACAAGCGTCTCGAAAATACAAATTCTAGAATTTTTAGAATCTCCACCACTTGTCCCAAATTTTCATTGATGAAGTACTACGTAACATTTTGCCTACAAGTAAATGATTCCGACATTACGATCCCAAAATTAAAATATCAAAAGGTTTTTACACTTTTAATATTTTTATATACAGTATGTACTTTTGTATATGCAGTTCTTATAAGTTTATATATAAACTTTATATGTAGTTTATATATATGTGTTATATATATGTATATATGTTATATATATATATATGTTATATATATGTAGTTTATATATAACTATATATAAACTTAATTAATTAATAAGAGAATTTAACAGAAAAATATAAGCATTTATATGCAACAGAATATAATAAAGAATCTGAGTATAGTAGGCAACCTCATTTACTTACGTGACATGTCACGTTTAGCGTTACCCTTGAAACAGCCATAAATTTAAAAAACAATTTAAAAATATGTATGTACATATCTATGTTTTTAAATACGTTAAATAACTACAAGAAGCCAATAAAAGTATTTAAAACATTTCCTTTAATTGATTATGCGTTATGAATAAAACGAATAAGTAACCAGACATAAAACTTATCGGCATATTTTTAAAAATAACTGATTAATTGGTAATATTTATAGTTCATTACAACACTTTTTATAGCTCATTTGGTATTGTAAGAATTGAACCTTGAATAATTTGAAAATTAAATTTTGCAACACACAAGTAAAATTATTCTTTTTCTTGTTAATGTTTGATAAAGTATATTTCCCGATGATTCACTCATTCATTTTAATTTTAATTTAATAGAAACAACAATGCAGTTTTGGTGATCAATTTGTGAATCTAAATATAACTTCTCAAGTAAAACATTACTGATCACCTATAAGTTGTATAAAAATTTTTGGCATGTTTTGCAGCTATGACCAATGATCTACTTCAGTTTAACTTTGATTGTAAACCCTGGCTAAAAGAGTTAAAAAGTTTAACCATTGCTTTGCGTTTGGTAACTTTAAAACTGGTACAAGTCGGACTGCATTCTTTGATTTTCTTGTGAATTTAGAAAATATGCGCAGATGTTTAGTGATCTCCACCAAAAGTAACAAATGATGATGCGCTTACTGCGTTATTAAAGGCGTTAATGTAGTCCGTTTTGACGCAGATGCAATTATTTAGATAAGTATAACTTAGTAACTATAAGAGGATCTGGTTTTAACTTCATTAAGTTAGGCCACTGTGCAATTGGATGTCACTAATATAGTATTTAGAGCTTTGGATGAAGCTGATATCAAGTTGTTGGTCATGTTATACTCTTCTAGGACCTTTGAAGTACGTAATGCAGGATTATGGAACTTTTATTACAATATTTGTGTAACAAATTCCAAGTTATTCGTGTTAATAATGTTTTGTCAACATCCATGCAGGTGCGATTTCGGGTACTTCCGGACAGTATTTTTGGCCCTGTCTTGTTCTCTCTATATACTTGTGTCTTATTTAACTGTGTGAGGTATGCTGGTTATTATCTGTATACGAAGAATATTAATTGTTCATTATAATCAATCATTAGTGATTCCACGACTGTATAGCTACCATCAATACTGAATCAAATTTTTGGCGCTGGTTCTTATATTTTTCATATGAATACTATAAATGTATGAAATCACACTTATGTTATTATTATGCAAGTTAGGCTTGCGGTGTCTATCATCTTAGTTTGCATGGCTTGTTATAGTATTCACAATGGGTGAAATTCTTCCTGGTTTGGTGGCGATTATTGTCATATCTCTTGCTCTATTCTTCTTGGTCATTCATAACAGTTGGCATATTTAACAGATTATGCGCAGTCTAAAATATAACGAAGAATATCTGTGAACAACAGGAAAATCTTCAAAATTGTTTGTAAAGTTGAATTCATTATCATTTGTTGGTACGTTTGGTTTTTTTCGGAAATAATATTTAAGCTGCTGCTGCAAAAATTTATTTACATTTTCAGTATTGCTGTAGTAGTTGTATGCTCATTTATTCAGTTCTTTATACAAAAACATTTAGAACAATTAATTTTTTTTCCAACAATTCCAACTATTTTGGTTCCAAGGCTACAAACCGCAAGTTTTAAAACCATTAGTTTAGATTTAAGCTCACTAATAGCTTCTTTTCAAGTGCGTTTTTTAACTTACAGCATAGTTTTTTTAAGAAGATGCGCTTTTTAAGAATTTCAGTTTTTAAATAGTTTCAAACTGCTTAATAACTTGCTTAATTTAAAAGCACAAAAGTTTAATAGATAAAAACAAAAAAAAATGCGTTGTAAACATCCATTGTAAACATAAACAGAGATCTCCAAAATCAAAAATAGTTGTTAGTCTTAAGATAGTCTTCTATATCAGTAAACCATTTTCTGATTTTGCTATTGCAGCAGAAGGTGACATCTTCTGAAGCACAAGTTGTTTATAATGGATGAACTAGATACACTTTTTTAAAGGATTCTTTAAAGGAGTCTTTATTATCCACAAAATACTTCACTGATGTTTGAAGGTCAATTTTTCATTTAGAAAAAAATTCGCAACTTTCCAAAATTTGTTAAACAAAGTTTCAAACAAGTTTCTGATATAGCTCGAATTTAAAAAAAATGAATACCTCATCCAAACTGTAGTGTTAATCTTGGTATAATTTAATACTTTTTAGTAACTGCTTTTTTTAGTTCTTCATTGTTGACATCAATAAATGCTTTTTGGAGACAATCTTCAATGGAGCCTTTTAAATAGATTGATATCGATTTATCTTGCGTCATCTAATGCATCAAAAAACATTGTTTTGATAAGAATAAAGTTAGAAGTGTGCTGTTTATGAAACGTTTACCAAAACAGAATGTTTCATCCTATATATATATATAAAAACTTGTTTTTTATTGCGACATAAACAAGTAATGTCATTTACCTGCCGATACACTCATAGTCTTAGCTCATTAATTTTCATTAGGAATAATTAATCTTGAAGTAACACCATTATAACACATTATACGATTTTTCTTTTAATAATAGAATTACATTCATTATTTATGATTCATGTTAAGGTCATTGTCTTTCATAAGAATAATTCATTCAAGATTATGTTATATTTATCATTTCAATAATAATTTTTGTAGGATTCTAATACATTTGATTAATGACTTAAAAAATTAATTAAAATGGAATAAACACATAAATATTATTTGTTTATGTACTTTGATGAAGTTATTGTTGTTATACAGAGTGTCCGTAAAGCAGCGGATATAGGTGATGGAAAACGGTGAATGGAATTCCTTGAAACGGGTCTAAAGAATAAAATTTTTTGCAATTTTTTGATGTAGATTATCATCGATATTCTTTTTAAATGGCAAACTCTAATTTTTATTACGGATTTTTTGCTGAAAGAGATAATCCACATGGTACAAAGAAAGCTAACGAATTAAGGTCGGTAATTCTCTCTTGCAAGCCCTTGTTTTTTCCTTTTATGTTGCCGCTATTATCATAACCCTGTTCCCTGCAATCGCTAATATTGAGATTGTGATCACTCAATATTTGTAAAATAGCTTCTGTGAGACCTGCATCATTTGTTTCATCAATTTCCAAAACTATGAAGAAATATTTTTTAATCGTTACGCCATCCTCGGTTATGTCAGTGTACCTTAATGTTAGGAAGAGTTGCTCTTTATGGCTTAATCAGGAGTACACTCAGCTATGATTGCAAAATGCTTTGAATTCATTACGTGGCATAATATTGTGGACTTAACGTGCGATGCCATTATTTCTATCAACTCATTTTGTGTCAGCCATCTCTCCTGTCATTGCTAATTTGACACGCTCCTTCATGATAAAGTGAAATCTTGCCAATAATTGTTTATTTGAGGTAAATAATTTATCAGAAGAAAGCCAAATTATTTTCAGCTAAATATAATGTAATCTGCATCAGTCGTTGAAGCACATTTTAACTTTCCTTAGAAATTAATTTTTGTGTTTCTTTGTCTATAGTTAATCCAGAATCAAATGAATGTCCCTTGATCCTGATGACCTCTTGACCCTGGCGCCCTAGGCGATCGTCCACACCGGTTCCACCCTAAAGCCACCACTGATTGGGCTACCCAAAACCCACATTGGGCAAAAAAGTCGCACACCCAATATCCGCAAAAGATAAATGTGTGGACGAAATAGTACGGGATATCTCCTGAGTCCTTATTTTTTTGAAGAAAACTTAACTGGAGTGAGATGTTTAGATTTTTTCAAAACAATATCATATGCTGACCAAACTCAATTCCAACGGCAGTTATTTCAACAAGATGGCGCGCCACCACACTTCAACAAGCTTTACTAGAACGCTTTTTGACACTTAAGAAATTGTTTAAAATAATTGTTTACCATAGTTATTCATAGCTACTGCTATTTTTATCATGTCAACAAATTTGAAGTAGTTAAACTATAAATAGATCTCGAAATATCCATAAACTGTTTATAATGATTTTATCGCCTATATCCGCTACTTTACGGACACACTGTATTTATACAAATAATCAACAAAGATTGTATGGCGCTATGTAAGTAGTAAACACTATCAAATATTTGTTATCGACAATAAATACGGAAACCGATTAAATCTATTGCGGAGATATTTTGAATATGACTTCGACATCACAATTTGTGGTAGGGGAAGCGAGTTTGGAGGTTAAAGAATTCAGTAGTTATCCTAACGATCAGCTGTTCTCTTCGCGGAAACATGTTGTGCTAAATCGATTTAAAAAGAATATCTATTTATGAAACGTACTTAAATCTATTGCTGCCGTGGAAGGTTATAAGTTCATAGTTCATGTTGATTGAATCGGTTTTGTGTGACCCTGAATTAACATTAAAACACTCAGGTAACGAAAACTTACACAATGGATACGACTAAAAAGTACGATAATCCAAGTCCTGAATCCAAGGCCAATATCTTGTCTAAAACATTCTTTTGGTAAGTTAACTTGTTCACTTAAAAATGTATTTGTATGTATACAAAATAATATATACAAGTGTATTGAATACATGTAATTTTTTAATTGAATTAACATAAATTTATGGAGATAGTATTTTTTTTAAATATCTATCACTAAGAATTTTATCCAGACAGGAAATAAATTTAAATAAATATATTGTTATGCACTCAGGTCAATGCCCATTGATATTATAATGAATCATAATGGTTATATTGTAAGTATACATAGTAAGAAAGAGTATGAATAATTTTACAACTTAAAATTAAAGATAATTGATGTCATTCTTTGTTTATCTTTAAACTAAAAAGGTTTGCTTCGTTATCTCTTTGTAAAAACATTGTATTTATTTTATGCATTCTTTTTATTTAAAATATTTTGTAACGTTTATAGCCAGACTATAATAGGTTGTTAGTTGTATCCTTGACATGCTAATCTTTACAGAATTATTAATACTTTATTTACATAATCGCTTGGATAAGATAAATCTTTTTATCCCACTATGTGAGTCACGTCGTGATGGCTTGTGAACACTGGGATTTTGTTGTATAATATCAATATTATTGAAATATATTTTTTTATAAAAGGTACTTATAAAAGGTACTTTCCTGAACTCCAAATATTTAAATTGCTATACTTAATTTAAACAATGATGTATCAAATATTACATAATAATTTGAAAAATTGAAAGAGAATTTTAAAATTGTTATCACCAACGTTGCCAAAATTATAGATTATCCCGATATATGGATCCCGGCCATATATCGGGATAATCTATGGTAAAAAGTTGGTAGGTTAGGTACCATAAGAAATCAGTATGTTTAAATGTAAAGTCAGAAATTGTTGTTTGATATAAGGACGGTACAAGCTAGGTAGACTGCTACATCTCAGGAATAAGATCACAGCTCGACGGCCCGTTCGTGACATCATGTAAGGAGTAGGCAACTACTATTTTACACTTTGAATTAGAAAATGCTTAATTTACTTTTATTTCAACAAAAATATATAACAATCATAATTAAAACTAGAACTAACACAAGAACTAGAACAGGGTATAGCCGTGTGTCTCTTAAAACTGCTTTAACGCTGAATAACAATTAAAAGTAGAACTAGAAACATTCGTGATTAGTTGTGCGTCTCTTAAGATGGCAACACCCGAATGTTTCTAGATCTAGGTCTAGTGTTAGTTTTACTTTTAATTCAATAAAAATATACAATAACGAATAACAATTAAAACTCCCACTACACCTAGAACTAGAAAGTTTCGGGTTACATCATTATGTTAAACTATCATTGTTGAAAACACAATATAATCGCAATTTAAAGAAGTTTACTATAATAGGTTAGAATTGTAGAATAAAGCAAAAAGCTCATAAATATCAGTAAATTGAGTCGTACATTGGTATATCGGTAGACTATCTTCTATATCTACCGATAAATTCGTACGGTTGGCAATGCTGGTCATCACAACAAACTGAAAACAAAAGTGATGTATTGTAGGTTATGTTATTTTAACTTATTGTTAAACACACACATAAATCATTGAAATTCTTATTTTAATTATAAATGAGTCAACTTGACCTATTTGTGTAAATAAATTAATGTAAAATCAATCAAAATTTAATAATAAAGTCGATAGATGGTGCTACTTTTGTTATCGAGTTATCTAGTACTCTATAAAAGATACAGATATTGAATGAAAATGTCCGGGATATATTCGGGTTCAGGCATTAAATTTTAATTTGAAATGGTTTACTATTTGTGATTGTCCACAATTCAACTCGTTTTTTTATGGTACTGATAGCTATAATTTTTAAAACGTTTAATGAGCACTGTAATCGCAAAATATGCATAGCTTAAACAAAATATGTAGGTTTTCATGAATGAAAAGACAGCAGCGATAATACAACATAAGTTCTTGAATGAACTCAACTTTATGTTTGAATTAACTGTGTCTCAATAATAAAATTTCATGTTTTAATGTCATTTTAACACAATTTTTGGGTATCGATTACGGTTGGTTTTTTGCTACTTTAGAGTACTTTGCTGATTTGTATTATTCTGCAACTCTTGACTTGTTATTCTGTTATTATGATGTAGTGCGTTGTTCTAAATTTCTGGCCTATTCTGGAGGATGCTGCTATTATGGAGTACTTCACAAATATGGGGTATTCTGCTAATTTAGAATCTCTCTTCTATTCTCGAGTGTTCTATTAGGGAGTAGTCTTCTTATATGTAACTATTCTGTTTAGAGGTTTTTTAGAGTTCTTTTCTACTGTAAAGTTCTCTCCAACTAAGCACTTTGCTAGTATAATGCACGATGATAATTTCGAAGTACAAACTCAGCTACTTAAGTTTGTTGGAGGTTTTTGTTGTGTTGAAGTATTCTACTACCGCTAAATATATCGTCACTTTGATCTACTCCATTAATTTGCTCCCGTTATAAAGTACTCTACTAACTCTGTGTTCCCTGCTATTCAGAAATATTCTGCCAATTTGAAGTTAATAGCCACTATGAAGTTCTCTCTTATTTAAAGGTAGACCTACTCCGAAATGATTTTCTACTATTGTGCATTCTCCTATACTGGAGTCCAATCTGATACGTTGGGCTACTAAATATTACATTGCTACTTTAAAATACTCTGTCACACTGATTAATGATGATTTTGAAATAAATGGTATTGATGACAAATAAAATAGACTTTGAAGTGCTCCTCTACTGTGCATTTCGCCTCACACTCTGTAATAACCTGCTACTCTGGAAATCTCTCCCTCTCTAGAATACTCCGCTTATTTAGAGAAATTTGCTAATTTGGTGTTCTGTACAACACTGTCATCATTACATTACTCAGAGGTAATCCGCTAAACGATTATATTCTGGTGTTCTCTTCAAATCCGGAATTCTCTTGTACTCCAAAATACTCTGAAGTAATCTGTTATGAACTAATTTTTGTGGCTAACATTTTTGAATAAGTCACATTTTTATATAATACAGGATTGTACGAGTGTTAGAACACGCACCAAAGAACCGCAGCGAGTTTTAGAACAGAAAATTTCAAATATTCAATGAAATGATCAGCATCCAAGTCCGGCCTGAGAGAAAAATACAATAACAAGATCTTGTCTGCATTTAATTTCAGGTTATTTGCCTGAAATCATTTAAATCCGCAAACAATACGATGTTTCTATCCATGCTGATCATTCAAAAGTTTGTTGCCCCCACAGATACTAAATAAGGAGTCTTTCCAGTAAATCTATCCTTGCATCTATTATGCTCATAGCATTAAACATCGATTCACAATGTAATAATCTTCGACCTTTATAATCTTCTGTTGCAAATACCTTCAACAGGTATATTAGTGACACAGTCATCATTCATTTTATCCCAGTTTTTGGTCCTGCTAATCAGGAATATGGCGAGTTACAAATATGAATTTATCCATATCATTTCAGCTTGAAATTTATCGTCAATAACAACTTTTTCAAATGTGACGAATCAGCTTTAAATAACTGTGTATACTGCGATCAGAGGACTTATATAACTCATCCTCTCATGTTACAATTGTATATCCAAAGCTTTATAAAAAGAAACATAAAGCATAAAAAGACACTAGTAGTAAGTAGCTATATTGATGATGCCTCAAATCTCCAATTGGCTATGAAGGAAGTTATTACAGCAATAGGTCTTATATTAACAATGTTCTTTCGGAGAGTATTACTATGAATGATTTTAATTTGTTTTCTAGTTTTATGGTGAGAGAACATTTAGAGCATTTGCACTGCTTTTGTTTACTTTTCAAACCTCTTATTTGGACGTCCCATTAGTTGTTATTGGAAAACATAACATCTTTTAATTTCTGTGTCAATTCTATACCTTGATAAAATTATTCGAAACATCTCGCTCTCAATTTGTTTCTTTTGGCAATTTCTATCCAGCATACATGATATACTATCTTCTCATAGCAACATGATAGGTCGGGTGTGCAGCACAGCCTGTGCTCATGCTTTATTACAAAAACGTCCTACTTTCTTGCAATTAAAATGAAAGGGAAGATCGCATAATGATATAAGTGGATAGTTGTGCTCATAAATTCAAAAGATGATCGCGCTACAGTTGCGTTGGTGAAATGATCGGTATGTGTGAAATTGTTTTTCAATCCTTTGATCAACATTCAATACGTTTATTTGATTCTATATATAATTTTGTGTGAGAATCCTTACAGCAGTACTGCAAGATTCTCATATTTTGGTTATACTTAATATCCATAGAGATCTAACAAATGAAACAACGTAAACCTGTAACTATTACCAGTAAAATCTATGGAATGACAGCTAAAAATATTATGTGGGCAATTTTGAGAGCAATGTTGAGAGTTATCTTATTGAAGACCTAATATAAATAATCTAACACATAATAATTTATGCCTGAGAGAATGTTTAAGATATAATGAATTATGCAGAGATATTAGAAATAGATATTAGGAATTATTAAAATGAAGTGTCATAGTTAAAGTTATAAAAGAAAAAAAAAACATTATTTGCATATACAATTTTTACTATTAATTCTAATCCATCATTTTTGAAAATGTTTTATCTTATTTTTAAGTCTGCTGATAGTAAAGCATTCATTTCTCTAAAATCATTTCTAACTTCGCTCTTTCTAGAATCTACAGTTTTGTAAATAAAAGTGTTTAATGCTTTCGTAAACTTAAAATTAAGAAAAAAAATTTTTCTGTTTATTTTATTAAGCCTCTATTAAATAAGATAAAAGTCAATACATTTCTGGTTTAGAAAAAATCAATCCAAATCTTCAGTAAATAAAACTCGACTTTTATGATGAATAGATATTTCAAAATCATTAGGCGGAGTTTTTGATCGCAGAAACTGTTGGCTACACGGTCGGATTAGTATGTTTTACAAATGATTTAATTGACTTTGACTTTTTTGTCTTAATGAGTAGTCAAGAATTGTTTTGATGTATTTCAACTGTCCCGATTTCACTTAACTATGATGTAAGTAAATTTAGAGGTTGTTTTTTTCTGGTTAATAACTTCGTTGTTTTTTAGTAATTGCCTTAGAAGAAACAATAAAGTTTCGAAATATGGCAAGTAATAATTTAGTTACTTTTTTGGTCTGATTGCCGCACCCAGTAATCCTTCCGTGTATTTCAAAATGTCAACAACAAAATTGGCAAGTCTTGAAAATTCTCGCGATTTTATCATTCTTTAACTTGTACTATTGCATTTTTGAACGATTACGAAAATTGTAACCATAACGTGTTAAATGTAAATGAATACGAACGCACGTGTGTAAACAAGAATGTTTCGAGATAAGATAGATTCATTTTGTATGCAAATTGCTGTTACATTTCTTGCCTACACTCAAAAAAGAGCGATTACATTTTTTAAGAATGCACTTATTTTAATTTTAATTCATTGGAAAGAATTGCATGTGAACAAAAGGAAATTACAAACTCGATAAGAACTTCGTGTTTTGATAACGTTTATTTCAATTATCTGATCAATGTAAAGAATGTTTTAAATATTATCTACGAAATTTTCACGTCATTTCTAAAATATTTACTTAACTTTTTCATGAGTTGTAAAATATTTGATAAATCATCCAAAAATAAAACGTCATTCAAAAAAATTATTTTGGCACCTACTATTATTGTAATCAACATTAAATTTTGATTGTTTCTATTAATGAGTTTTTAGATCCTAATCAATTATTATTTTTTTAGTTGGACATTTCCTCTATTTTACTACAGTTATAAAAATGATCTCGAAATTAAAAATCTTTATAACACACAATCTCAGGATCAATCAGAACCATTGGGCAACTTATTGGAAAGGTTACTATATTAATTTTATAAAAAAAAACGTTATTGATTAAATTTCATTCTTAGAAATTGGAATAAAGAATTAATTAAGGCAAAGAAAACACATAAAAAACCATCATTAGGAATGGCAATCGTAAAGACATTTTATAAGTCGTATATGCTTTGTGGAGTTGCTCATCTTATCATCGCAGCAGCACTTCGGTTTGTTACACATTTATTTATTTAATTAATATATAGAATACAATAAATCATTTTTTGTTATAGCATATTTCAACCAGTTGTCTTAGCTGAATTTATAAGATACTTCGACATTGACAGCCCTTATACTAAATCTGAAGGCTGGTGTTTTGCTATTGCTGTTGTTTTTATGTCCTTCTTAAATACAATCTTAATACATAATGTTGTCGTTTATAGTCATAGAATTGGGATGTGGTGTCGAATAGCTACTTGTTCCTTAATGTATCGAAAAGTAAGCTTTCTTTTTTTATATCTGAATTGCTTGGCCAAACTTCACCAACGAGATGTGTTGAACACAACTGCAAAAAAAGTTCTTATAAACATGTGCCTAGAAATGATTTCTTAAAAAGTGAAAACAACAAGAATAGATTTCACATAGGTTATTTAGGATTTTTCTATGGTTAGACGTTACAGTAAATGTTCAAAATGTGGTCTTTCCGCAGCAATTTAGTTTGGCATTGTCGAACTCGCTTAAGAATTCCCGGGCTACACGAAAACTATGACTGATTCGGTCGCGCAATTCTTCTAAAGTATGAAATGAGTACACAAATTGTTTTAGGTGTCCCATAAAAAAATCTATCGGAGTACAATCTAGAGAATTGGATCTCTGCCAATCCAAGAATTCGGAAAAATATTATTTAAGTACTCCCTAGCAACAAGGCTGAAATTTGGTGAAGCACCAAGCATTTGGTGAGTCATGCATTAAAATAAGTCACGACCTGTTTCCAACGGAACGTCATCCAATAAGGTAGGTAAATCATTTCCAAAAAATGTCCGTAATTTTGCCCATATAATCTGTCTGGTAAACATATTGGTCCTATTAAATATTCGCCAACAATACCAGCCCAGATGTTATATTCAAATGTTTGTTGATGTTGATTTTCTAATCGCGTGAGGATGTTCTACATGTTTTTCTTTTTTTTTTCTTTCTTTGTTGCTGCTGGACTGAGGTCCTTGATGAACCTTAATATTGCGCAAAAGTATTGTTCCTTTATATCAGCAGGTGCAAGGCAAACCTTAGCGAAAATTTTATGTCCTAGGCGACCACTGGCGACGCAGTCACACAGAATATATTCAGCAGTCTCTGACTTCTTGTTGCAATGTCGACAAGTTTGAAACTGAGCTTGTCCAATGTTGAAGAAATGTAGTTATCATACTCTTCGCCTGTTTCCTGGTAGTCCTTTCCCGCGGAAGACTACCTTTGTATAGCCGAAAGTGTTAATCACCTGTTTTAAGTGGCTTTTTTGTAGTACACAGCCAAGTTGCGGTCCAATAAAGAACGTCCTCTCTGCCGCTTTGGCCAGCTTCTGCGCGTTTTCATTACCCACGCGAACCATGCCAGATGGTCGAGTAATATCCATTACTTCCTGATCTGCATCTGCATCAGGACAGGTTTTTGGAGACAAGAAAATCTGTGCTTCTTGGTCAAGTTATACTCCGTTAGGGCCTTCTTATAGAGATTCTATGTATGTTCGAGTTTGGAATGTCTGACTTTATATAGTCTTCTAACCATGACTCGCTGTTGTTCAAGGTTCTTATTCCACATTGAATCGTACTCTTTTGTGTTTTATTGGACAACTTGATTCATATGCTTAACCTATATATAACGTCATTTAATTGAATAGAAGCTATTTCAAGATCCTCTCTGATTTCAATATTAGTTTTGATTTCTTCAACCTCTTTGCTGATGTGTCTACAATAAGAACAGCAATCAGTGAGTGAGATGATTTTGAATTTTATCGTTTTTGTTGTATCTGTTACAACGACAAAGCGAATGTGCTTGTGATTCCGTAAAGTGATTTCATTGGATACATGCTAGTTTCCGATTTGCGAACTGAGTCGAGGAGTAGCCAAACTTATGTTTAGCACCTCTTGTCGGCTTTTTGTTATCTCTGTTGAGGATATCTAAATTTGTACTTAGAAAGTATTAGTCTCACCCCTTTTGTTTGTGTTTGAGCTGCTCCATGCATCCCATTAATGGTCATTATGAAAATTCAGAGCAAATGGTAACAGTAATTTGGCTTGACGGTTTTATGCCGAAACATTTCCGAATCGAAGATATTCAACTAAAGGGAGTTTTGCGGCAATCCATTAACGTCTTCGTGAAACAGGATATTTTAAACGGAAGGCAGTACAATACAGATCAAAAGTGCATACGTTATATTAGGGAGCACGTTATAATAAAATATCATTTCTAAGAAGTTTAATACCGAGTTTTTTCTTTATTTTCATCGTAGACATTCAGCAACGGTCAAATCAACTCAAACAAATTCGTAATGGATGGGCTTTCTTGCTAGGGAGTTAAGTAATATTTTTTCGCTTGCTAATCGCTAGATTAGTAGAGGTGGGCCAAGTGCGTGGCCACCACGTTCTCCAGATTACACTCCGATAGATTTGCTTTCATGGGGCCATCTAAAATAACTTGTGTACACTACACCAATTCATACTTTAGAAGAACTGGGCGATCGAATTAGTCTAATCAGAAATTCTTGAGTAAGTTCGACAATCAATGGTTCGATAATGCATTACTGCCAACAGAGGACATTTTGAGCACTACTCTGTCTAACCACAACAAAATCGTAAATAAATGTGAAATTTTTTCTTGTTGATTTATAAAAATTGTTATCGATTAATCACAATTTTGGAATTAGCGTAACTTTTTAAGGAAACATATCTAGACACATGTTTATAAGAACTTTTTACAGTTTTGGTCTATACATCACGTTGATGATGTTTGGACAAGCAATTCTGATAAAAAAAAATAAAGTTAACAATTTTTTTTAAATTACGTAGCTATTAAAATTAAATAAAACGTCTTTGGGTAAAACTGCTGCTGGTCAGATTGTAAATTTAATGTCCAACGACGTCCAAAGATTTGATTTAGCTGCCGGGTTTTTACATTACATTTGGATAATGCCAATACAAGCTATTATTGCGGCTTCTGTTATGTATAACAGTGTGGGTTATTCTGCTTTAATTGGACTTGCAGCGTTATTTATTCAATCGTTAGTACTTCAAGGTAATAATAAAAAATAAGTAGAATCGCAAAAATAACAATTGCATTTTAAGGTTATTTGTCGAAACTTCAAGGAAAATTGCGATCAAAAATAGCAACAAGAACAGATGCAAGGGTAAAATTAATGTCCGAAATTACATCTGGTATACAAGTCATAAAAATGTATGCCTGGGAGAAGCCATTTGATAAAATGGTTCAGCTATGTCGAAAGTAAGAAATAATATTCAAAACATGTTTTTAATTAAAAATTGATATCTTATCATATAGGTTAGAAATAAAAGCCTTAACTACAACTTCTTACATAAGAGGAATAACTGTGGCCTTGATGGTATTTACGGAACGTTTCGCTTTATACTTAACATTGATAATCTACGTACTTATGGGTAATCCCTTAAACAGTGATAAAGTGTTTTCACTTTCCCAATTTTTTAATATAATACAACTTTATATGTCGATATTTTTTCCAATGGGAATAGTTATGTTAGCAGAGTCCAAAGTCTCAATACGTCGAATACAAGAGTTCCTGTTACTCGAAGAAGTACAACAATCATTAACTTATACCGACAAATCGTTTCCAGAATCTAAAGGAAGTATAAAAATAAAAAATGTTAAAGCGAGTTGGATTCCAAACCCTATAATCGATACTTTATCAAATATAACGTTAAATATTAAGCCAGGAAGTTTAACGGCTATCGTTGGAACTGTTGGCTCTGGAAAAACATCTCTTCTTCAACTTTTACTTAAAGAACTTTCTCCGGGGAATGGAACTTTAGAAATAAACGGCGAAATATCTTACGCTTCCCAAGAACCTTGGTTGTTCAGTTCAAACGTAAAAAATAATATCTTATTTGGACAAAAATTTATACAAAGTACTTACACTAAAGTTGTTCGAGCTTGTGCTTTATTAGTTGATTTTGATCAACTTCCTCAAGGCGATAAAACTTTAATAGGCGAAAGAGGAGCTTCTTTAAGCGGCGGACAAAGAGCTCGAATTAATTTAGCACGTGCCGTTTATCGACAAGCTGATATTTACCTTTTGGACGATCCATTATCGGCTGTTGACGCCCAAGTCGCTAACAAATTATTTAAAGAGTGCATTTGCGATTATCTTAAAAATAAAACTAGGATTTTGGTAACCCATCAATTGCAATTCTTAAAACACGTCGATCAAATTATTGTGATGAATAATGTAATGTAATTAATTTGGTTTTAATTTTTTTTGTAATAAATTTATAATTATAGGGCCAAATTGAGAGGGTTGGCACTTTTAAGGAATTATCCGAGAATGAATTAGCTTATTTAAGACAGGACACAAATGATGATGTTTTAAATCAAACTCCTCATAAAGAAGTTGGTGTTAGAAAAAGATTGATTTCAGGTAGATCTGAATCTGTAAGTATTCAATAAAAAAGATTAATAAAATAATAAAACTATGTGTTACTTAAAGAGTACAACAGAGCAAGATGAAAATGATAACGAAGAACCCCAAGAGACCCAAGAATTAGTAGAAAAAGGCGCAATCTCGTCGTCATTGTACAAAAAATATTTTAAAGCTGGAGCTCCAGTAATAGCCTTAATATTTTTTGCTATTTTAGTTATAATATCCCAAGCATTTGTAAATGCTGGTGATTTATGGTTAACTCATTGGTAAGAAAAAAATTATCTTAAATTGCACTTACATTTTTTATCTTACTCAAATTCTTATTTTCATTCATTTCCAGGACAAACACCGTCGAATCTCATAGATTAACAGCAAATAAAGCAAGAAATGATTCTTTGTTGGAAGAAGATTCAACAAATTCTACTGTAGATGTTCCATTAATTCCAGAAACCAATATCTCGTCATCTAACGTTTCATTCATACAATCATTTATACAACCGGCAAATTCCCCAGATCATATAGACAACGAATACTATATATTATTCTACACTTTTTTTATCGCAATGTCCATAATATTAACTACAACAAGATCTTTATTGTTTTTTAAAATTTGTATGCGAGCATCAAAAAGGCTACACGACTGGATGTTTTCAAATCTTCTCCAAGCCACCATGAGATTTTTTGATACAAATCCGTCCGGAAGAATTTTGAATAGATTTTCAAAAGATATGGGAGCAATTGATGAAACTTTGCCTAGAGCTATGCTGGATGCTATTCAAATATTTATGGTGATGTCTGGAATATTAATAATGGTTTGGATTTTTGTTCCTTGGGTGGTTGTACCTAGTGTTCTATTGGGTTCCCTTTTCTTGTTCCTGCGTATAGTTTATTTAAGAACAGCTCAAGATTTAAAGAGATTAGAAGGAACTAGTAAGTATTATTTTTTAGATTGTGGTAAATACAATTTTCTTTAAATAAGTGATGGAAAATAATTTTAATTTGATAATTTATATTCTATAATTGCTAGAAAATTTAGACAAATATTTACTATCTTTGATCATGATGGATAAGGTACTCCATTTTGTTCAGAATTAAGATGTTGTCTAGGCGTTAAAAAATTCACTTTACTAATGAAAAATTTTGAGGGCGATCAATTTCGTTTTCCATTATCTTCTGTACCTAAGTTAATGATCCCATGCATTAAGATGTAGTTGATAAGCCTAAACTGAATTGTACCAGTATTAGATGATATTTCTGTTCAATGCTTGAAAATTGTTTGCTGTAGTTATACATTATAATTCTGAAGGTAATAAACTTAAAATACAGTGATATATTTAACTTATTAAATTAAGCAGAACAGAAATCAAGATCGATACTGAGAACCAAAATGCACTGAGAAATGTGTTTTTGAGTACCTTCCAAATGGACAATGTAGATGTGATATTTACAGATACATTAGGTAGATTTAGTGCATAATTATGTATAGACGATATGAAGGCAAAATATAATTGACAATCACAGAAAAGATTGTAAAAGGACAGGATATTTAACATAGATAAAGCCTAACATGCAAGAAGGTTTCTTAACAATATTATCAATACTAGGACAAAACTTACTTAAAAGATAGTAGAAAGGTATAACCGTTATTAGTCGTAGATTTAAAAGTCACTATCAATGTGATTTCAAAAACCACGTATTGCTTATCGTTTTTACATGAAAGATAATGACAAATTTTTGTAATCATTTCATATTTGTTTTTTTAAATCAACTTATCAAATACGAGGGATATCCGGTTCCAAAGGTATGTTTGTGCAAGCACTTTAGAGCGCTATGTACTGCATAGGTGGTCTATTATCATTGTCTTAGGTTCAGAACAGGTGCAGTCACAGCCGCACAATATTAGTTCCGATCGAAACATACTCCAAGTTTGAAAACGACAATCATTGGCAAACTCTCGAAAAACTGCACGTCATTCGACAGAAACGAAGAGGAAGGGAATCAGGTTGTTGTATGATAATGCAAGACCGCACACCTCAAATCAGACAAAGACATGGCTTCAGATACAGAATTGGGTTTTCAAGTTTTTTTCAAGTTCTTGTCCATACCTGACAGTTCATTTGTTTGATAAAATGTTTGAAGACGACGGCGAATTTCAAATTATGTAAAGCAGTATTTTGAAAATTTGACTCACACCTTTTATGAAGGAGGTATGCAGAAGTTTGTGCGCAGCTAGGATAACTGACTTAACATTGGCGGCGATTATGTTGAAAAATAGCTAACAGTTCACGCCTGTTTGATTTCTATAAATTAGTAGTCTGTAATTCACAAATATACCTTAGTAATTGGACATCCGGTGTAAAGTCATATTCTTACTTAGTTGAAATAATCGGTACAACTAATTATTTAGGACAATGGAAATTGTTCTATACTTCCATTAGTAATCTCCAATCGTCAATTATTGAAATTCAATAAAACTATTCTTACTTTACGTGGTAGCTTTTTTTAAATTTGTGTTCAAAAGTAATCTCTTAATCTATTCAACAGAATAATCTTTTCATTTCCATACCTGTTCTTCAGAATGTTTTGAACTGTCTGAATAAATAATACCACAAAGTGACCAAAAATCTTCTAAGTCCTCTGTATGATATATTACAAAGGATATATCAGAAACTAATTCCATATTCATTACTCATTAACATTGGGTAAAGTGTGTAAAACTAGTAATGGAGATAATTTATAATATTCATAAAGGAATTCCACTCATAGGATTTCTTTGAAGAAACTTCTACGTAAAGTAAGAAAGAGAAAGTAAGAAGAGTATAGGACCGTCTAAGTCGTTTTTTTCACGATGGTCACCTTATATCGTATTCTCAAACTTGATGGAAAAAAACATGTGAAAAAACAATTGATGGAAAATACAAGAAAAGTAGTTCTTTGAAATCTTGATAGATTGGTGCGTTAAATAAGTTTTTCCTATTTGTGTCTTCAATTATAGCGTGATTGCGACACGTATTCCTTTTTTATGTCATTTATTACTTATGGTTTGAGTTCAAGATCGGTTTTCTCGTTTTTTCCATGTGATTCGCAGTTATCATCTTTTCCTTGTGGCATCATTTCAAATACTTTTTGTGAATGCGCTTATTTTCTGATATCCGTGCTATCTCTGTTGCTTGCTCTGTTGATTATTATTATTATTATATACTTTATTTCAGATTTCGTTGTTCATGAATTAACTTTATCAATCATCGCCCATGATTCTGAGTCGTACACAATATAAGTGTACATATTGTATACAGCGCTGTTTATTTAATAATAGACACAATTTGGTTTATTTGTCCTATATTTCACTTCTTCCTCTTTTCTATTGTTCCTAAGTATTCAATTTAATTACATTCGTTATCCTAATTTTTTCTTGAGCCATGAATATTTCTAGTGATTTTAGTACTTGTTTTGCTTTATTCTTCAGTAATGTCACAACTTTCGTTTTCGTTGTTCTCTTCTTCTCTTTCCGGTTCCTTACCTTTTTCTTCCTGTTTTAGAACGTAGTTTTATAATAGTATTTCTAAACTTTTAAAAGTCGAGAAACTTCATTTATGAGACATCTAAGATACACATTACGATGTTCGTTGGATTTTCAGTCTTGCTATGACATCACCTGACAAATCTAGAAAATATGTCAACATATAATTTTTGAATACCAGGATGTTGTCGATTGAGTTATGTACATGCAGCATCTTAGTACATATTACTCGTGCTTTTGGAAGAAGAAGAAATACACGGGAAGAGACGCAGCCCTTCGGCTAAGTTTTCGAAATATCTGTTGGTGTTGGAACCTCAGGGCTAACCTAAGGTACCTACTCTACGATAGGGTTATAGAAGGACAAATTCCAAACTGCTGAATAGAATAACTTCTGTTCATTTGAGACATCTGATGGTTATTCGATCTTTATTAGACATTTCTTCTGTATAAACATTGCACATAATGCGACAGACATTTTCTTCTTTTGTATATACATAAAAAAAAATTTTAACATTCATAAAATTCTTAAATAAATTCAAAATATGTAAGTGTGTTTTCTTAATTATTACGTATAAAATTAACATTTTCACTTTTGTTTCTGGATGAGAGATACTTTATACTTTGTAAACATCTGATCTAATTTGTTTAACGACATAGACAAGAATCAGAAGTTAGTTGATCGTTGAAGCTCTACTTTGTAACCGAAATAGTTAAATCCACAAAATAAATTTGTTTTTGACGTCCAATTGTCAGATGCATCGGCGGCGAGAATAAGTTCCTTTGCAAAATCTCGGAAATGTGTGCAATACATTGTTTAATAGTTCTTTACATTATTGGACGGAAGATTCATGATTTGAATCTAGATTCAATTGCATTTTTCCACTTTTTGTCATACAAGCTGTGAATGGTTTCGTGATTTTTGTTACCTTAATAAGATTTTGATAACACTCTAATAATCTTTAAAAAAATTTGATTTCTGTTTTGGTTTTGTATTAGGGTTTCTATTGGAAACTACGTGGCCAAGATATTTTCTTTTGTTGTTAAACTTTGAAGTTATTTGATTTTAGTGGTTGAAACAGTTTTTTAATTTTTGGATGTCGAGATACACAAGTATCTTCAAGTAATCCACTTAACACTACATCAGTTTTCTCTTTGTCTTCAAGGACAATTTCGATCTGACGATAAACTGATGATAGATGAATAATAATTCACTTTTTCTTATTTACGATGTAAATAGATTGTATTAGACACTAAAATCTACCACCTGTATGCGTGGGTGTTGGTGTAATGATTGATTTGGTTCTTGTTGATGTTCTTTCCATTGTATTTGATCTCTGTGCTGTTATAGAGATTGGTTAAAGATTGTTTCCTGTTTGAGCTATTACTTAACATTATAAAGAAATCACTGAATTGTGTGTTACAATTTGCGATCTGTACCGCAAAAACTTCTGCTCTTTCTATGATCCTTGTTTCCTTACTATATTTCTCTTGCCTAATAAGTGTATATAGAACCACGTGTTTTGATATGACGAGAAATATATAAAACTCCTGCAATAGTAGTGGCCGCTGTGCACACCTTTTCAGCAACTAACCTTAGAATACCGTCAATTTAACGATTGGATAAACAAGCGTACTGATACAGGTTTTGACATCTATCACATTTTGGTGATCCGTAAATCTTTGAAATCTTCAATTGTTTGTGAGTGGAGTACCATAAGTCGCGAGTATCCCATCACTGACTAATTCACGTTCCGCTGCAACGCAGTCTAATGAGCCTTCCATAACATAGTAGCTGGTACAGTGACAAGAAAACGAAACAACGGCAGACTTGCGAGTAGGCAGAAGGAATGTTACAGTCACTGTGAATAATATATCTACACATAACATAGGAGTGGCATTATCGGGCGGCTGTTTAATGATTACACTGCTGTACCTAGCACAAATTGACATAAATATAATCAAATCAACATTAAAATGTCCACTAATCTGACTTATTACGTTGATTATACGGATGAACTAAACACTACCATTAGATTAATAATATTGCCATAGCTACAAGAATCACTTAAATAGTCCATCTTTAATATTTTTTTATAATAGAAAGGGGATAATACATCTTCTTGGGATACTAATATACCGATCTACTTGGTACCAATGATAAAAGTTTATATCTTAATCCTGAGCAAGATGTTCCCCGCCTTTCATAATATTTTATAATATCGCATTTCTATCTATTCTATCATATCCACTAAGAGTTATTTTATAATGGTAATTGAAGCTGGGATAAATCTTACTCAATACGAAGAGATAATCCATCATCCCTAATATTAGAGGATTATCATTACTAGATAGAAAATGGAATACTTCTCATTCTATCTATATTTATGATACATCAAAAGATAAATCAATGTTATTTTTATAGGTAGGGCACCTGTTTTTTCCCACGTATCAGCTTCTTTATCTGGCATAACTACAATAAGATCATCTAAAGCACAATATATGGTAGCAAAAGAATTTGATACTCTTCAAAATGGACATACAAACGCTTCATACCTTCACATTGTAACAATGCAAGCATTCGGTTTTTATCTAGATTTAATTTGTACCGTTTTCTTGGGAGTATTAGCTTTTCAGTTTCTTATTATGGATGATGGTAAGCTAATTTCTTTCTATTTTCTCCGTTTGGTTCTCTACATTATTTGATTTTAGGAAAAACCCCACCGGGAAATGTTGGTCTGGTAATTTCCCAATCAATGATTCTTGTTGGTATGTTACAATATGGAATGCGTCAAACTGCTGAGGTCGCGTCTCAAATGACCAGCGTTGAAAGAGTCGTTCAATATACAAATATTGAGAAGGAAGGTCCGTTTGAATCTCCACCAACTAAAAAACCTGAATCAGCTTGGCCAAAAAAAGGGGAAGTTCGATTTGAAAATCTTTACCTGAAGTATTGTGTCGATGAAGAACCAGTTTTGAAAAATTTAAATATAAATATTCAACCAGGCGAAAAAGTATGTTATAAAAATGTATATTAAAGACAAATAATTAATTTTTTATTTTAGATTGGAATTGTTGGACGCACAGGAGCTGGTAAATCTTCACTGATAAGTGCCTTATTTCGAATAGCTCCATTTGATGGTCATCTTTTTATTGATGACGTAGATACCAAAGAAATAGGTTTACATGATTTAAGAACGAAAATATCGATAATTCCACAAGAACCGGTCCTATTTTCAGCTACTGTGAGACATAATTTAGATCCATTTGATAAATCTGACGAAGCAGCACTTTGGAAAGCTCTTGAAAATGTATTTTAGTTATATTTTTTGTTTGTGATAAAAATGTATTGTTTTTTTAATGTTTGCTAGGTGGAATTAAAAGATGGGGTTGAAACATTAGAACAGCAAGTAACAGAAGGTGGTACAAATTTTAGCGTTGGACAACGACAATTAATTTGTTTAGCAAGAGCGATTATCAAAAATAATAAAATTCTTGTATTAGATGAAGCAACAGCAAATGTTGATCCACAGTAATTACAAAATGTTGTTATAATTATAAATCAATTTTGCTGGTATTTTTCATTTTAGAACCGATGCTTTAATTCAAGAAACAATCAAACAAAACTTTAAAGACTGCACTGTCTTAACAATAGCCCATCGTTTGAATACAATAATGGATTCTGATCGTGTTTTAGTAATGGATAATGGAGAGGCTGTCGAATTTGACTCCCCTCATTTATTGTTAGAGAAAGATGGGAATTTCAGCGCCATGGTTGAAGCAACTGGTAAAACCATGGAGAACAAACTCAGAAAAATTGCCAAAGATGCGTACTTATTAAAAAAAAGCTCAGGTAGTATTATGGAAGAAATTCCATTGGAAAATGGTCACGTTAAGTCTATCATTGAAAATAATACGGAAAATGAGAACGAAAACAAAGATTGAAATGGTACAAAAAATACATTGAAGACAGATCTGATTTAATAAACTTAAATTGGTTGTTTTTTATACTTAATTATTTATATGTTTAAATATTTATAAGTAAATTGTAACAGATTATACTACATTTCTTGTTTTGTATTTAAATGTTCTGTATTTGATTTAAATAAAAATATTTTTAAATAAAAGTATAGGCAACTAAATTAACTTCCCTCATTTGATATACAATCAGATTCATTTTAAATAAGTATTAATAAAGAATATAAAATCCAAGATAAAAGCAGTTTTGTGCATTATTTATTAGAAATTTATACTTTAATTTAATTTTAAATTAAAAATAATGTTATAAAAATATTTTTGACAAGGCAACCAAATTAACCTCTAATCTGTCAAATACAATTCCTAACCAACAAAATCTTGTATGTCGTTATGTTCATAAAACTTTTTAAGAGTTAAAGCTAAACATTAATAGAAAATATAAGCTCCCACAAGATTAAATCATGTCTTCGCCTGCACCTAAATCACCAGAACAAAGTGAAAAAAGCAAGAAATACGATAGACAATTAAGGTTAGTTTTCGCCTTCCTTAACACATTAAGTTCTTAAATACTTATTAACTTTTAGATTGTGGGGTGACCATGGACAAAAACTTTTAGAAAACGCAAAAGTATGTCTCATAAACGTTACGGCATTGGGTACAGAAATTTTAAAAAGTCTAGTTTTACCAGGAATTGGTGCTTTTACTGTTGTCGATGGTGAAAAAGTTAGTGAAGAAGATATTGGGTCTAAGTAAGGATATTAAAATACTATTTGTTAATACTAAATTAACATTTTCTTTGTAGTTTCTTTTTAGAAAATGATATGTTAGGAATGTCCCGAGCCCAAGCTGCAACAAGATCTTTATTAGAATTAAATCAAGATGTTCATGGTGATTACATTGATGAATCCGCCGAAAATGTTATGGCTCACACGCAGGACTTTTTTAATAATTTTTCTGTGGTTATTGCTACAGCATTGCCAGAGAAAATCCTTTTACCTTTATCAAAACAATTATGGGAAGCTAACATTCCATTAATTGTTGGCCGAAGTGTGGGATTTTTAGCATATTTAAGACTTCAAATTCGGGAACATACAGTAATTGAAGTCCATCCTGATAATGAAAACCCAGATTTACGCTTAGAATATCCTTGGCCTGCACTAAAAGAGCATTTAGATACAATAGATATCAGCAAGTTGGACAGAAAAGAAAGAAGTCATGTCCCGGCATTGTGTATTTTATATTATTATTTAGAAAAATTTAAGTCTCTTCACAATGGAGAACTTCCAACAACAAGGGCACATAAAAAGGAAGTTAGGGATATGATTCAAAATAATTATTTAGTTATTGAAGAAGGTCAAACAAATCTAGAGGAAAATTTTGAAGAAGCTATGCATTATGTTAATACTTGTATTGGACAACCTAGGATTCCATCACAAGTTCAATTGATTTTAGATGATGAAAAATGTACTAATCTTACTCAAGAGGTAATTATTTATTCAAATTGGGAAGTTATCTAACATTTTTTAATCAGCCTAATATCTAGTTTTTATTTTATTATAAATTATAGTTCTTTAACCTATTGCAACATGAGCATATCATATCAGAGTTGAAGAGAATTTATTCTTTTACTTATCTGGTTTGTTGTATGCAGTTTAATTTAGTTGAGTTTACAAATTCTTATATTACAAGAGCATTTCTCATTTTCTGTTTGCATGTGATGTATGAAAACCTAAATTTGTTACAGTAATAACAAACTTTTCTAATCCCTTTACCTTCTTTTAAACGCAAATATTGACCTACAGAGGTATCACCTTTTCCACTGGTTCAACAATACAATTATAATTTTATTTTCCAAAGAAACAACTTTTCCAGACATTTACTTGAAACTTTACTTTGTTGATATTGCGAAAATTTGTATTTGAGTGAGCTTTATTTAATATTTTTAACTTTAAACTGCGAATTTATACTTAGTAGCTAATAGATTACCATTAATTATAAGTGAATAGTTATCAAACAACAATTCCATAATAATAATACTCCAGGGCAATGTTTATTTCTTGAATGAATACAACTCTATGAATACAAACCCTTCACAGCACTTAGGCCCCAGTGGGCCCTTTGTACATCCTCACAATTTACAGTTCATTTAGTGGTCAGAAAACCAGACCAAGATTTTAAGTACGCAAGGTGGGGCAGTCACAAACAATATGACTGGGGTGTGTTCGCCAGCTTCATGTAGAACATATGCTTAAGTGGAAGTGGGTGAGGAGCCTCAAGTCAGTTTTTGATTTTTTCAGGAACTGAGTTGACCTCTTCCTGTCAGGGTACAGCAGAGTTTTCTTTGCAAAGACACCTGCAGTCTCATACCATCTATCGCAAAAAGCTCGGTGGGAGATGGAGTTGATGAGCTTTGATGCTGTATTAAAAGTTAGCGGAACAAACGGTACAGGGGAAACCGGTGACTTCATACCGCCCGTTTCGCCAGCCTGTCAGCATGATCGTGTCTATCAGTGTAGCTTACAACGTTTCTGCCAACTTTTTTGGAGTCGGTGATCACATCACCTGCTATATATATAGCAGCTATTTTGGCCTGAGCAATCGTGCAGCTGATTTATTTATTTATTTACACATACGGGGGTAGCAACAGGACACAGTCCCACATAAAAGCTACTCCACTGTAATACATTATTTATATACTACAATAAGTTGTATGAACACAAAATTGAAAATCGATCAATTAATTAATTAGTGGCCTTAGTGGCCGCTGCAACGAGACAATGTACTTAAAATCACACAACTGGTAGGGCGAGCACGGGATTACGAATAATCCGCTTGAAGTTCTCTCTCCATGCGAAGTATTGGGGAATTTCTATACGAATTTGTCCGAGCAGTCGGCGCATAGAACAAAAAGTCATAGCGCAGCCGACGAGGGGGAACATGCAGATCAATGCGTGAAAGAAGATAGGAAGAATCATAGTAACCTCTGACCAACCTGAACAGAAAGCAGGCATCACTGCAAGTTCTGCGCTGCTGAAGTATGGGCATATGATACATTTGTCAGGCAGATTGGTAATCTGTATAAGGATGCCGGAATTTATACGAGAGATACTTCAGAAACCTTATCTGAATCCTCTCTATTCTGTTAATGTATGCGTCGTACTGAGGGTTCCAAGCTGTACCGCCGAACGATAAAATACTATTAACGAAAGCATTGTATAAAGAAATAATAGGTCTAGGGCAGCAAAACGATTCAGAAGAACGCATTACAAATCCCAGCATCCTATTAGCTCTGGCCACCACTGCGTCAACGTGTTGATCAAACAGTAGTTTGCTATCTAACGTAATGCCCAGGTCTTTAATAGTGTCAACATGATCCAGTAAGCATTGATATAATATGGTATATTTACTCTCTTATGGTCTGCACTTGATTTATTAATTATGGGATCCTTCAACTATAAACATAACATTCTGCATTCAAATAGATTGATGTTACAAGAGTTTGCGATGATGTAGTTCGTTGCCTACTAAGCGCTAGCATAGCCTGTCTGCTATCAGTGTAGATTACAATGTTTCTGCCAACTTTTTTGGATTCCATGATCACGTTAGCTGCTATTTTTATAGCAGTTATTTTGGCCTGAAAAGTCGTGCAGCTGATGATTGATATGGTATATTTACTCTCTCATGGTCTGCACTTGATTTATGAATTATGGGATCCTTCAGCCATAAACATAACAATATGCATTCAAATAGATTGATGTTACAAGAGTTTGTATAAGTAGCTGTTACAAATTCTAGAATTTGTCAACATTTTAAGGTCGTGATTGAAATCAATTCTCAGGAATGTTATGTTATGAACACAAGGTTCATAACATAACCTAAATATAATTTTCAAACACACAAGAATTACTTCTATTTAATCTTGTCGCGATAGGAGAATTGCTCCTGCTTATCAACTGTTGCTATGAATAGTGAAATTATGAGTTATGTTTTGAAATCAAGTTTGTGATTGAGAGATTTTGGAACTCATCACAACGGAAATTTTAGAGAGAGGTTATTTTTATTTAAGAATCCTCAAATGTCATTAAATGATTCTACAACTTGGAGTGATCCATCAGAGGTTTGATTTTTTGCTTTCTTTTATGTTAGATAAAAAATGTTGATGGTTTTAATTAATTGTCTTATGACTAAAAGCGCAAACATCAAATATATCCAAAATAAAATCAAACAAATCCGTTGCCAACAGGCATTTTCTTCGGAAAATTATTCTTTATTGTCCTGTGTTCTTTGTTACAGTAAACGAATTTTTCTAAAGTGGGAAATATCGATAATGCTAAAACAACAAAACAACTTTTATATTTGCCTTATCATGTAATAATTTCCGACTAACCAATGCTTTCTTAGATAAATTACGGACTTTACAATTGCCTAAGTAAAATAAATTAATGATTTGCTACCTACATACTCACATTTTTGTTTCACAGTGTGATACTGACCTTGTCCTTCTTGCTATCACACATTTAATGATTAACCATTTTGATATATTGGCAATAAATTGTTTTTCCACAAAATCGCACTTATAAGCAACCTAGATATTAAAACTTTAACCTTTTGTTCTTATCAACCTAAATTTGGAAGGTTAATGATATCACGATCTACTTTCGGCATATTTAATGAAAGTCTTCAACTTAATAATATGTTGAGTTTAAATTGTATAGTGGTTGCACGATTCAAATGAGCAAATACAAAGGAATTGAACGAACAGAACAAGTGAATTCACTCAATTGTGAACTTCATCCCTCCGTAACCTTTCAATGAATTTAACTTTGGTTGTTATAAAAACTGCAGTGCAGGGTCACATTTTTAGGTAACTTGATCTATGGCTTTTTTAAGAAATGGTTTAACGCTCCCTCAGATCACTACGCTGTTGAGCTTTGTCTATAATCAATATATGTGACCTGCACTACGGAAAGGGGGTTTATGTGCGAAAATTTAATTTTATTTCTACGAAAAAAAAATCTAAAATTAAATTTTACATTTTGCGTTTCTTATTTAAAGACATTGAACTTTCAGTGCAAATAACTCAGCCGCGAAGATAGTTGCGAAGCTGAGGTTAAGTTCATTAAAAAGACCGCACTTTACATTATTAGAAGATTCAAAATTGACCTCTTGACACCTAAACCCCCTTTCCATAATCCAGGTCACACATGTTGAACTTTATTAACCATTTCCTATAATGCCAAAGTAACACTGAATTATTTCAAATACCGCAGAGTACACTTAACACGTTCACTACCGCGCCTTCTGCAGTATTTTTTCCCCTTGTCCCATTCGTAGTTTCTTTGATTGCGAGATTCAGGTTTGTGTTATTTACATGTTGGTTTATTGTATATGACGTTTTTGCTAAATTTTTGTACTGGACTTTGAATTTCTATGTTCTGTACCAACGTCCAGTCAACTGGACACACCTGGATTTCTTCAAAGTCTCTATTTTCTTTTTCTAAATACAACGTAATGTGCAATAAAAACCAAAATACCCCAAAATATTACAAAACATACTTATTGTACACTGTGCCACATTCTGAAGCATGAATCTACGCATAAACTAGGGTTTTCTGGACATATCGGGCAGTTGTATCTGGATTTCTTCTAAACTCCACCTCTGCTACACTGACGACACCTCTTCATCGCGGATTTGTCTTTCTGTGTGGAGGGAACTGTCTCCAGATAATGGAATGTTGATTGTTGGTCTGTGCTGGGCCTAGTATATCCCTCATTGACCTGTAGCATATCCTTTATAACTTCTTTTTTGAACCTCAAGAGTTCAATTTTGGTTATACCTCTTTCCTTCTTATGTAATAGGCATTTTCCACATTGCAATATCTATAAGATGAAAGAACACTTTGCTGTGCCATCGTATGGTTTTCCTTGGCGATGAGTAGTATCCCATCATCTGGTCTGATCTGTCTATTCCGGGCATGTACCTATTGTAGGCGAGAACACACTCTGGTTTTATTACTTGTTTTCCTTTTCTATTCGTTGCTTCTACCATTCGATGTTTATGCATTGTTGATATCACCAATCTCTTGTCCTTCCAGTGTGTAACCAACACTGGACCAGTTCTTTTTCATACAGCTTCTCCTTTCTTAATTTTTCTTGAAATAATTGTTTTGGATTTCCCTTTCTAAATTTTCGCACGATTATGTGTTGATGCCAGGGTGTTGGCGGATTGTCTCTGCAGCAGTTTGTATTTGATGTCGCAATCCTTGCTTAGTATTAACTTCGGTGACGTACATTATGCTTTTTAAGTGACCCCAAAAATAAAAATCAAGAGGATTGTGGTCGGGCGATCGAGATGGCCAATGGACTACTTCGACCTCTCCATTTTCTTCCACATTATATGATTGTCGCTGCATATATCGAATATATATGAAACTAAACATCTTTTACTACAATTTTTTCACCTGTTACCCATTATTTGTCTCGATTTGGTACATTTAGATACATTTTGGGTGTTGAACCGCAAAACCCTTCTCCTAAAAATCTGTTGATAGTCAGACTGTATGGATGTTAATCTGAATGAAGTATATACATTCACATTGTTATTTCTCTCATTACTTTATGCTTGAATAGAACCATTCAAGTGCTTCCCCAACAACCGACATAAGATTAATCGATTGATATGTTTGGTGTCTTTTCTTTTTGGTTTACACTTGGTGTAGTTACTATTCTCTTAATAACATAGGCTATAAATAATAAATACCCACCCACTTTGTAAAATATGAAATCTACAAGAACCAAAAATTCTTACAATTCCAATACAATCTCAGCAAAACTTAATATTGTGAAGAAATGAAGACCAAATTTAGATCGATTGAAAATCAGTTAAAGCAACAGATTTCAAGCAGGGTTGAGTTTGGCTGTATTGATGTCATCAAGAGATTTATTGTAAGGAGTCTAAATGAATCTACGCTTTTTGAATAATCATCCACTTTAGGAATCTTTTTATATTATACCACCATATTTTACGAATACATTTCAAAGCAAATTCATTTTCAAATCAGACATAGATAGTAGAAGTAATTTATTATTTTATCCTTTATGGATGTACACAATTAGAATAATTATTTATTATAATGTAATCAATATCATAATTCATTCAATTTCAATTTTATAATTGGTGTAACTTTATCAATTCTCGTTTTAAAATACATTGATTATTACATTCTAATATTAATTTTCATTTTTTTTATAGCGGTGACTTATGTTTGATAAATAAATCTCTTTTATGATATATTTAGAGTTCATCATTTTGGGTAATGTGTGCTGCATTAAGAGAACTAGTCCAATCAGAAGGTAGTCTTCCAATAAGAGGAAGTTTACCGGATATGGCTGCTGACACAAACAGTTATGTAACATTACAACAACTTTATCAGAAACAAGCCCAAATTCAAGCTGAATCCGTGTTTAGAAGAGCGACGGAGATTGCTAGAAATTTAGGACAATCACAAGATGCCATCACAGAACAAGAAGTAAAAAATTAATTTTTAAATAATTATTAATACAAAATATTTTTTTTAGGTAAAATTATTTTGTAAACATGCCAGCGAATTATATGTAGTTCGTGGAAGCTGTATAGCAGACGAATATCAATCATCATCAGTTGATATATCATCGTATTTAGAAGATCCAGACAATTTAATAATTTATTATGTTATTTTAAGGGGATTAGAACGATTTATTTCGGAGTTTAACACTTATCCGGGACAATTTGATGACCAAGTCGAACCGGATGTATTAAAATTGAAGAGCATCATTGGAAAATTATTAGCCGAATGGGGTTGTACTCCTATTCTGAGAGACGAACGCATTCATGAAATATGTAGATATGGAGGAGCTGAATTGCATTCGGTTTCGGCGATGATCGCCGGATGTGCAGCGCACGAAATTATTAAATTAATCACACATCAATATAAACCTTTAAATAACACGTATATTTATGACTCAATAACATGTAATTCAGCAACTTTTGTTCTCTAACTTGTTGTTTTTATCGATATTGGTATTTTTTTGTTATAATTTAATCATTGCAAAATATTTATTTGTATGAAATGTATTTTTTAAATATCGAAATACATTACAAATACATTACGTTTTTGTTTTTTTTATTAATTATAAAAGAATAAAGGGTTTTATACTTTCATATTATTAAAAACAAATAATTCTGGATCTCAATATCTTTATTAATAGACAACTTAACAGCTACAGGTCATCTAACATAAATCAACAAATAGAATTTTTTACTTTGTTGTATTTGACCCAAGCAAATACACCATGTAAAGCAAAAGTTTTTTGACCAGGAAGTAATAAAATATTAGAACATCTTTGATGTATCTTCTTATAATAAGTTTTTTTTATTAAATCCAGTTTTAATTAATTTATTAATTTAACCCAGTTAATGTGAGAAACAAAATAAATGTTGTGACCTTTTGTTTTAATTTGCGTTCTGGCGTCACTCACTTCTATAGAAGGAAGTTACAATTCAATTAATTTTTTTTACAAATACTTATTCATTTATCCACAAACGTGAAAAGCTAAAAATTAATAATAATGATAATAGAAAGAAAAATTAAATTATCTATTCAAAAATTCTATTTTATTAATTAAACTATCCGTGTTTTATACTACTAAAACATAAAAATTATCTAGGTTCTTATGCTAAGTCTGTAATTATATAGAAATGAATGCCTGTTCTTTTTGTCTTTCTTTAATTACAATAAAGTCTTAAAAAGTTTGAGCTTTGTTAAAATTCCAAAAATAAAAAGTGTAAATGAATAATTAAAAAGTATAAGTTTCCAGCAAATTTACTCGACCATAAGTTACAGTGTTTTACATGAACTAAACTAATAGCGACTGTGGATAAACGAATAAATCCATATCGTTTTTTTAAGGAAAAAATTTCATTTATACATCTATTATATCGACAGGGGAGGGCAGAATGTACGCTATTTAAAGAATAATCAAAACATATCTGATAGAAATATTTTATATAAATATACTTTTATTGAATGTTAATAAATTACTTAGCATTTCAGTGACTCTCTTTCTTTCATTTATTTTTCGCGAAAAGCAAAAGGGAAAACAATTTGAAACGGAATTTATTCGTTATATTCCCACCAGTCCTTTTCGTAACCTTCGTGCACGTGATCTAAAAGCGCTTTGCGTCTACCATCACAGTATCTGTACTTATCTTGAACTTTTTGCTTGATATCAACCAAATTCTCTTGAGTTATATCCCTTTCCAAATATTCGCTAAGCATTTCCGTCGCCCGTTCCAAATCCTTTTGGTTTTCTTCAAAAATAACCGATTGATTGGTCTTCTTTAAATAATAAGCAAAGACATAAGTGTACATAAGCGTTTGCCTACATTCGCACAATATATCGACGGCTTTCTTCAAAAATTGCACCTCAATCCAACTCATATTATGTTGTTGCATCTCTTCCATTTTATCTTTAACGGACGCGTACAGTTTGTGCTCAAATTTCAATGACTGCATATGGTTCATATATCTGTTGCAGTAGAAAAGATACCTTTGGAGGGCCGATCTCGATCTTTCTTGCGCATTTCTAGCCGCTCTCGCTTCCTCCTCATCGTAACGATTACAATTATACCAGGAGCTACCATGTGGTTCCCAAGGGCCTAGACACACCCAACAAAAATCCGCTTTGCAATTCTGATTTTTGCAGACCATATGATTACAACCGCCATCTTTTTCGATAGTCGCATTGCATTTAGGGCACTCCTTCGTATTCGCAGCTATCCAGTTGGACGTTTCCGAGTCATCATCGCATTTTTTTATCCATTTCTTTAATAAATTGCATTTTACTGGATCGTGCCAATTTTCACCGCACACGAAACAAAATGCGTGACCACACTTACATGTCACTGGATGGCTTTCGACGTAGGTTACCTATAACAATAATTACATATTAATGTATTTTTTAAAATATTAATTTAAGTTATTCAAAGTTACTAAACGTTATCTGTATTATTTTTCGAAGCAATCAACATGTATGAGACATTGAGAAAAAAACAAATATTTATTGCGTGACTAATAAAAAGTATGTTTTCGTTCTTAGAAAATAAGTGATTTATATAAAAAAATATTATTTTTATTTCAAGTAATTATTTTCGATGACTTTCACATTCAATCCTTCCATCTGAATATATTATTTATATCAGTAAAATGACACAGCTATTCTTAAATTTAAATACATTCACCTGAGCTAAAAAATTTGGTTCATTCAATCTATTTTTAGATTTGCAGTAGTCTCAGGCCAGGATTATGACCACAATTTTATTTATTTATAGTTTGAATTAATACTACATTTTAACAAAGACGGAGTGAATTAAGCACGTGTGTTATATCTATATGATTTATGTTTATAAAAAATATAGAATATGCTACAGAACTTAAATGAAGCCTCGGAATTGAATTGATGAAATAGTGACGACGAAAGGAAAACTATTTTAAAAATAGCTACATGGAACATTGAATCATGGAAGAACATGGATCAAGAAATTATTATTGGAATAGAAAACCACTCAATTGACATCTGCTTGACAAAAATATGAAGATAGCATTATTGACACACACTATGCGAATGAAAGAATAATGATGATAAGTAACTAAACAACTCTATAAATGCATATTATATCTCTAGAAACTGGAAGACCTAAACATAAAAGGACGATTTTAGGACACCATTGAAGATCTAACTAGTATTAAGATCTACTAATATTAAGGGACTTTAATTGCCACAAATATTGTTATAGTTTGGTACTTTGAAGGAGCTCCATACTAATAATATCTGTTTTGACCATAAACTTGAAAATAAATATACACAGATCGACAACAGAGGTTGAAAGTCGATTATTGATTTCATTATTGACTCATTACAGATATTAGACGTAAGAACACTGACTTCTGCAAATGTTGGAATGGATCATGGAACGATACTTTGTAAGATAAATATAGATATAATCAAAAAACCGAAATTAAAATGTAATACAATAGAAAGTTTAGAAGATCCCACCACACAAAATTTATATCAATCCAGATTACAAGGAAAACTATCAGATATCCCACATAAAGAAAATCAAACTGCAGATGAAATGAGGAATTCAATGAAACTAATAGTATAGAAAAGGTAGGTAGCTATAGAAAGCGGAACCAGAAAGACAAAAAAACAACAAGACCAATACGTACCACCCGGTTGACAGAAGAATTAAAGAACATGTATGTCTAACTTAATTATGTTAGTAAAAAAAGAATTGATGAAATATTTTAAAGAGCAATGTGAGCAGACACCATTTCATGTAAGATCAAAAAGTGAAAACAGAACAGAAAAAAAACAGCGCTGACGTCACACTAAATTAGGGACTTCTAATTTGAGCTTCTTTATTGAGCGCACAAATACAAAGAACTTAAAAATAAAATATGTAAGGATTAAAACAAAAAAGAAACAATGTGGAAAATAATAATAAAAGTTGTAAAAAAACGAAAACAACGCAGTTTAGTGCACACAATATGGACCCGTTGAGCTGACGTCATTTTCCACTAACCCATTATACAATCATATGAGAGAGTCCGATATTCAATTCAAAGTCAATAATCGAATACCACACGGTAAAACTAATCCCGGTTTAAAATTTTAGAGTACAGATTAAAAATATAGAGTGTTTTTTTTATTCTATTATTTACTCTACTTATGGATAATTTTTTCAATATACTCTAATGGATTAAAGTTTCCTGTTGTAGATTTACATTGAACATGCTAGAGTTAAAATTTAACTCTTAACATTGTTGAAAGTTATTCTAAATCCAGACAAGCCCTAACAAGTTCACAACCTTTCTTACTTGAACACGTGGTGATGTGAAACGAAAACAAGGCGTGTTGTTCACTTTGTTCTCAATGGTCCCGTCATTACTACCTATCTTGGTTATAAACGAATCGGTTATTATAGTGTTAAGGATAAAGGATAGTGAAACAGTGCAACTTTTATTAGAATTTAAAAAAGAAACAAAAATGCAATTTGGACCATCAACAATTATTGTTACGTATGAAAACTTTATCTATAAGAAAACTCTGAAAGACTGTATCGATGAATTTCCATCAGATTTCCAATTAAAAATTTCCAAATGGTTGAAATATTCGTATTATTATAAGAAGAGGATGATTCTATGTACTGATCTGACTAAAGAGAAATTGTCACAGTTTGAACAAATATTAGAAATAGATTTTTTGTAACAAAAATGTTAAAAACAATTATTTATGTGCATATATTAAATGCATTCAAAGTGCAATTTTCTATTAAAAAAGACTTAAATATTGTAGATTTAAATCTCTTGATATATAAGGAGCCGTTCAATTTAGCGCAAACGCAATTAGAGGCTGATTTTTATTTGTTATTAAAATATGAATTTATTTTTTAGTTTAAGTTTTCGTGTTAGTAGTTTAAGTGTTCTGCATTAAAAATGACACCTGCATATGATTTTGTTTTATAATTTCAGTATGCTTACTTAAATATAGCGACTTAGTATATCTTAAGATTGCATAAATGTAATTATTTATTCGATTGTTCAGTTTTTACATAATAAACTTATTTTGTGAACACTGTCTATTATGTAGATTGTATCATTCTATTAAGAATATATCAAACGCTAATTTCGAGTGCATTGTAAAATCTGTATAGATTATAATTTCAACTCTACCGAGATTTAATATGTAATCTGTGTTCACTCATCGTAGAGTTAATAATTAACTTTGCCATAGATTCATTTAATCTCTAAAATTTGCTCTAACAACCGATTGAAATATTTACTCGAAAAGTGAATGGACCTCCTGGAAACATGTTAGATTTAAAATAGAGTTAGTTATTTTTTACCGTGCACAAAAGAACAAGAAAAATACAAAGTGTAAACCGCCCCACCAAAGAGCACACAGGTTTTTTGATTCCTTCCCCGTTTTGGTTGATTTCCCAATAATTAAACTTAACTCTTAAAATTATGTCCTTAAATGTTTTATAAATTTGATAGGTCAGGTTCTTCAGAAAAAATTCTGTTCTATGTACAGGTGGTGTTAGCGTTCCCTTAAATCTTAGATTAAGATTGTACACATAGGAGCAAAAGGAAATTTTTCCAAACAAGTATGGAGGCTTTTTCCCAACTAGTAAATTGAGGAACAGCAATGTCGCATGTGCTAGGCGTCTCAACTGCATCTTTAACCAGGTTAATTCAGACAATTTATATTTACATGGTCTCTTCGTTTCAACCCAAACAGTAGTCGTATATAAGCGATTTGTACGTTTTGAATTTTATATTTAAGTTCATACGATAGAAATGGGTAATATCGCATACTTGTTTTATTTATCTACCCTCGATTAGAAAAAATTAATTTCAGGGAGTCATAGGTCTGCTGTAGGCATTTATTAATGTGCAAATCAAATTTTAATCGAATATTACACCTAACTTTTTCACAGATTTACTAATTACTAACTGCTCGTTGTTAATTTTAATGATAATTTTAATCCTTAATTGCTGGTTAAGTGTTTTTGGACGAAACCGCATAAGTTCTGTATTTTGTAGGTTGATGCGTAAGCCATGTCCATCGGAAAACTAAATCAGTCGTTTCAAAACATCTTTAATTTTGGCACATGCAACGACCACCTCAGACTCTGAGAAAGAATAATAAATCTGGATATCATTCGCATACCAATGGGCCGAGCAGTACCTCATGTGTTTATGAAATGACTTGTGTAAATGTTATACAATAAGAGGGATAATATTGATCCCCGCGCGCATCCAAGTCTTACCAATATTTAGTAAGTTAGTTAATTGTTGTTCCCTGTCTGATAAATAATTTATCAGGATACTTATTGCTTGTTGACTCAACCCTATATGATTTAATATTGAATACAACATTTTGTGACTCATTCCATCGAAGGCTTTAGAATAGTCAAACAAGCACAGCACATTTAGTTTTTCGTTATCAGATACTCTCAGAATATTATCTACAATGCGGTGGTGCAGCTATGAATTGCTCCCATATAATCTTCTCCAACACCTTGGACAAGACCGTTAAGATGTTGATCTGTCGCAAGTCAGCAAACGCATCAGGATTTTTATATTTTGGCAAAGGAATTACCCTTGACTTTTTCCAAATGACAATATCTTTTATGTGAGGAATTATGTGTTGACAACAATAATTGATAATTTTAATGTTTAACCCAAAGAGCCATGCAGCATTGCTTCTTATTGAGCGTATAATAACATTATTCATATAAAAATCAATCAAATCAATGTCAAATGGATACACTCGACGAGGTTATATTTTTGATATCTCATCCTATACTTCGATACTGACCATTCAATATATTAGTTAATTTTAGAGATAGTAATGGCGCACTGGTAATTCAAAAATGACTTTCTTATCGTAGTCGGTATTATATTCATTACTAAAATCGTTGAAATTAGAATTTAATTATCCCATAATTTAAAAGGCGTAGTCTGTAAGATTTCATTGATGTTTTTTTAATATTATATACCGGGTATAAAGGAGCGTTCACAGGTGGATATGGGATCAATTAGTAGCAGTCGATAAGTTAACTAGGGCAGTGTGTCTTCAATAAATCAATTATAACTATAATGGCAAATAAATTAGTTACAGAGTTGGAAATAACTTGAATATGGACAAACTTTCCGGACTGTACACTCCTTACAAATTGGTGTAAAGGGTTACATCAATATAATTGGAAAACTATTAATGGAATTGAAAGTTGTTAAAAAAAAAAGATTCAAGTAGTATTTAAATGTTCAAACAATAAAATGGGTGAATAATATAGAGAAAACGCCTGAAGATGATACGACGCAATCAATACTACTGCAGAGTCGAGAAATAGTTATTTTGCATCATTGCATTCTTCGCCAATACTTTGAGTTCCTGGCTTTTCATATTTCCTTTCATTCACGTTAACTTTTCTGGTTCCAAGTGTTTCGTTTGCTTTTCGAATAGACTACAACCTATATCATATACAAAATTATTGCTTTAGTTTGATCATGAATTATTGGGAGTTCCTCCAGCTTCAACAAGTTTATCATCCACAAGAGATTTTAGAAAATTGAGGAAATTTCAACAATTTGAAGCAGATTGTTTAAGATTACTACGGATAGCTTACTCAAGAGCCCAGGATGTTTTTTCGAACAGCAAATAATAATATGATTTGTGAAATTGAGTCACTCATGTAGCTGCAATAGCGCAATTTAAAACATCATCCAGCGAACCAAAGTATTATCAAACTTAAAAGGAGCTAGAAGGAGGTGTGGAAAGGAAATGATAAGAAATCAAGAGCTAAAAAATAGGAATGAAGTGTTGTCTATACATCCGTTGCAAAAACGATAGTTAACAATTCGGCTATGTGTACTATTCAAGAATTCAGGAACTATGGTTGAAGCAATATTAACTTATGAGATAGGAAAAATTATACTTTAGAAGAATAACATTGTGCACAAATTAATAAACAATTTCGAAAATTTAACAAATCTCTTAACGAGCGCACTAAAAAACTTAAAACTTTAGAAATTATTTTCTCCAAAACTAAGCAGATTAACATAAACATTGAGACAGGTGTTTGTCAAAAATCTAGATTTGACCCTGCCTGGATATCGCTGCATAAGCAGAATGCGTACGTCTAATAGAACCATTTCGGGATAGGATATTGTTTGGCAATGTTACAATTAGCGTGCTCCGAATATGAATCATAACTTTAATTGACTACCTAAGTGATCTATTTACATCGTATACAATTTACATCAGTATACAACTTCACAGATTCGGGATCAATTTTCTCAATGAAATTTCTCGTTTAATGTTTTCAATTCTCTTTTTATGTTAAAAAATTTCCAGAGGTGGCATTATACAGCTGTTGGTGTAACTTTGCCACTTAGTTCTTAAATAAAATAATGAAAAAAGTTGTCAGAAATAAATACATTCTAGTGGAAGGTATACCAAATGCAGAAGCCCCTACTGAGATATTACTAAAATATGCGGCTTCATCGGCAAGATTGAAGTCGAAGCGGACTCCGAAACCGGAAATTGTACAGACTTTACAGAAAAAGGATCGTTTTAAGATCCTTCCGCTATGTCCTCATACTTTAAAGTAGGTATTCCATTAAGCAGCAACTAAATGGCCAAAATGGCTCATGATGGAGAATATCGTGAACCTCACGCTCCTAAATATTTTCATAAGAGAGGTATATTCTCTGGAGGAAGTCTCTAATCGATGCTCACAAGACCATACCAACCTAATTGTTTCTTTTACCTAATGATGTTACCCTGAACTACAATCGATGAATAATTTCCAAAGACTCAATGAGTCTTTGACAAGAACTCATTGAGAAGGCTTGTTTTCTATAGCACAATAGGCTAAATATCTATATGATATGTGTGCATTTTTCAAAAAACCCTAATTATCTCCCAAACTATTAATGTTAGTGGGGGTGCCATTTAAAAAAATTAAATTATGGTACTTCCAAATTTCGAAAAGTTAACGTGTCATAGTAAAGTGACCAAACGTTCTAGACAGCCGTTCTTGGCACCAAAACATACTCCATCATGTTGCTTAAGCATGTTCTGAATCCTAAAAATCGAGTGTTCTCCGATTTTTTGAACAAGTGTCTGCTGGAGCAGATTTTTCTAGGAAAATTCGAATAACTCGAGAACGACCGAATCAAATTGCAAGAAATAAAGTTATTTATAAACCTTGAAAACAGACAAATTCAAATATGTAAAAATATACAGGGTGTTGCATTAAAAAAAATAAAGTAGCTGGCGACTTCCGGTATAACCGGAAGTGCTATAAATCTGAAAGTATTTTAGTCAAAGAGAACGCAATTGATAATACTTAAATCTGAATTCTCAAATTTTTATTTTGACCAGAACCCCAGAAACGTCTAATGACCGGTCTCGCTGAGACACTCTGTATTTATTATTAATATTACATTGATTACCTTTGAATATTTTAATTTTAAAAAGAGAAATTTTACTCATACTGTTACAGGACCTGCTGGAAGTGTATCATATAACATTTTATTTCACACTGTCAAGTACAGTTAAACAGCAGTAACAATATAAAACATTTGCTTATTTCAAAAATTTAAAATGACATTATATTTTTACAAATGTTTTTCTATGGCAATGGTGTTGCTACAGTTTGTTTATATTGAAACAGTCAATGTTATAGCTCACTTACCGGACTCAAATTGATGATGTAAACATCAATATAGCAGACAGTATGAAATAAAGAAATTTTGAATTCAAAATATCAAAACAAACTTAAACACATTTCCAATTGACAGCTTGTATGAATAAAAAAAAATAACAACAATGATTAATATAAAAACAAAAACACAATTGAACCTTTTTTATATTAAACTCAATTAATATTAAAAAGAGAACATAGTTCAATACAAATTTAATAATAAAAGCATGTAAATAAAAATAAAAGATAATCAATAAAGTGTATAATAAATTCATCATCCATTCAATCCATCTATATTTAATAATAATTTGCCTGACCTTGATTCTAACATCAGATGATCATTTAAAGCTTTTAACTTTGATCAATTATATGCAAGGTCAGTGATATTTCAATCAAAATAACAAATTTTAGATAAGGATTAAGTTGCTGAAATAAAGATAAATAATACATCCTAAAATGATTCATATCTGAATAAAAATAAAAAATAAATAACTTATAATAAATAAAGTTTAAAGTTATTATTTACTTTTATAATCTAAATGAACTTACCTTAATAGCATAATTGCAATCAGGACTAGGGCACCAGCGTAATAAGCGATTACATTCAACAAAACTATTAGTAATAAGATGTTGGTACTTAATTTTTACTTTTGGATCTTTAACTAATCTCATTGCGGTTTGATCATCAACCAGAATAGGGCAATTATGAGCTGCACAAGCAATAGTTTGGCCAACACCTTCTTCCATAATTTTTGTAGTAAGATATTCACTCCAACATTGATAACAAAACCTGTGGCCACATTCTAAACCGGTCATTTGAGATGGTGGTAATATCATGTAACATATTTCACATTCTTCTGTACCCAATACTTTTCTAGTACTTTTAGGTTTCGCTGTTGATGCTTGCCTTTTAAAAGGGTTAACAACGTGAGCCTCCTTAAAAAGTTGATCTTGGTTACCATCGTAAAATCTTTCCATTAACTTTTCTTTATCCCAATTGAAATAATTAAGTAATATCCTTGTGGTGGTTGCTGGTATTTGCACAACAGTGTTCACCTCTTTTATGCAGTCGATCATGTGCTGGACAATATCATCGGTGGAGAGCACCTCGTAGGGATAATCATCTTCAAAGTTTTGTATATTGCTTGTTGAGACATTGTCCGGCTCGATCCCAAAATCCACATCGTCTCCGCTAGTTTCGTTTCCGGAATCTTCAAAAATATCTTCATCTATATTCATATTATTAAAACATAAGCATTACTGCAAGCTTATAGTACACTTTATTCCCGGTGATATCTACTTTATTCCTTAAACTGTCACTTTTTGATTTTGATAAAAGACTTCAAACTGATTCGGTTTTGACGCGCTTATCAATCAATTACGACAGATCGACGCACATGCATGTTTATTTTATACGCATGATTTTCTTTCTTTCAACGCGCTAATTTTTGCTAGCGAAATGTGACCATCAAGTCTTCTTCAACTCGGCTCCAACAAGGACAACACCAAAAAGCAAAATACCCCAAACTCGTCGACCTTTGTTTTCAACCTTGAATGACCAACCAAAGAACAATTATTAAATTTTTCACTCTTATCTATTTTTACTTATTTAACATGTCAAATAACATTTTTTAATTACATCTAAAAACTATTTAACCATATTTACTTACAAAATAAATAAATCTACTCACACATATTAAAACGACAATGAAATTATGTAAATATCAAACAAGTTTTTTTAAAAAAATTAATTTTAATATAAACAAATAAAGTAACCGATTAATTATAACTTAATTAATAAAGTTAGTACAACATTATTTTAAATATTTATACAAAAAATAATTAAAGTTTTAACACATTTTGATTTAAGTTGGTATTACTTTATTCAAGCTTATTATCAAAAACACGACTTTACAATAAAAATTTTATTAAAAACTACATTTTCATGTTTCATTAATTATAATAGCAAGTTATAAACAAAATTTTAAAATAAAATATAAATAATTAAAAATTATTAAATAATTGCTTAGTCCCCAGTTGACAACTGGTGTCCAACATAACCTAAAAACTTGCAAATTGTCAAATGTCAAAATTAAACGTCAGTCATTTAATCTTTGTTATCGTTTATGTTTTAATGTTTATTTTAAAGAGATGAGCGATGAATCCCGTTGTGGACTTTCCACCCCAACCTCATGTTTTTCTACATGTCCTTCAATCGAAACAGGATCGGAGGATCAATTACCACCGGCCTTGGTTACTGAAGAGCTCCAGTTAGCACTCAACAAGGTTAGATTTTTTTTTTAATTTCCTATTTACACATTCTTTGTCTTAATTTGAATGCTGATAATACATTTTTACTTTAATTTTTTAAAGGAAGCCACAGAAAGCGAGCTAAAAAAAGCAGTAGAAAGATGTAAAGAGCTGGTTTTGAACTGTGAGCAATGTTCTGTTGAACGGAGGTGGTTGGTAAGACATTTAATTGAGTTAAGGTTAAGATTGCAGGAGTGTAGGGAAGCTTTGGTTGATCCTAAGTAAGTCGAGTGGACTTTATGATTTAAATTATTTAATAATTATTGTTTTAGTCATCCTAGAAATAAAAGTAGTGGTGTTTCTAGAAGGGTTATTAGAGGACATCATTTGAATTTACAGCCTTTGTTACGATCTTCTCAATCTAAATATTGTGATCATTGTACTGGCATTATATGGTAAGATTTTTGAATCAAGGGTGATTCAAATTTTGTTATTAAAATATCTATGATTTAGAAATCACAAAGAAAATTCTGTATTAAGGATTTTTCTTTATATACAAGCATTTCAGCAAACATTAAGGGGTGTCTTGTATTTAATATTTTTTTTCATAATCCCTTCTCCTCCAAGTTATAGCCCTCTAAAGTTAAAGGAAAAAATCTGGAACTTTCTTATCTCTTTACATTATTTTACAACTAACAAATTGTTAGTTTGATTACAAAAAATGTCAAGAAACAAAAAAAGTTGCGTATTGAATCCCTCTATTTAAATCAAGTTTTTAAATAGAAAAATGTAGATGCATTAAAAAGTTCTGATGCAAAGTATTATAGGGGTTGATTTTTTCAGCCCCTTGTAATAACGTTTTCTGGTTATACAAAATCATTATCATTTTATTAGCAACAGTTATCTGCCAAATTTCATTTTTCTAAATTCCTCCATAGTGGATTTATTAAATAAAAACAATTTTTTCCCCCTAACTTTAGAGTGCTACATGTACCTAATTCGGTGGGGAGCGGTTTTTAATTTTTGCTGAAAAATCACTCTTTGAAATCTCTCGCATCAATTTAGAAACACCTGTATACAGTGTGTTAATTAATTATCCTACCCGACATTATCATTGCAACTATGCAGCCAATATTGCAAGTAGCGTATTGCAACACCAATACTGTGATATTGGTTGCATAGTTGCAATGTTGACGTCGGGTACGACAATTAATTAACGAAATATACATATATTTATACTATTTTTGTTTAAAGGTGTTTATATGATGCTAATTTTTGGGTGACATTTGTAGTTAATTTGAAAAAGATAATTATCATAATCCGTTTTTTAATATGAATTTTCATTCCATTTATGTTAAATATTCCCCTTATAGTGTCTGGTAAATTAATCAGTCTTAATCAAACAAAGTAAGAGTTTTGGCTTGACTCCTAAATGATAATGACAATAGGGCTCTTAAGGTCAATCGATTAGAAAGACCGTCTTTCAAAAAATCGATAATAATAATAATAATGCTTTATTAAGCTCCTCAATTACAGTAATATAATCAGTATCATTTACATTAAATGTGCTCAATATGAGTTTTCACTGTTCTTCCACTAACCCATCACAACGAAAAGAAAAACAAAAAGAAAAACAAAACAACAATTTCAATTACATAACCGTAATCAGACTGTAACATGCATTATAAACTAATAAATTAAATTAAAATTCATTCGAGCTCCATGCCATATAATCTAAATTAAATTAGACCGATTAGTAACGTTTTCACGTTCGAAAATTGGTTAATTTTTGCAATAATTAATGTAAAAGTTTAAAATTCCCCACCACCGACTCCAGACGACGTTTTAAGTAAGAAGAAAGAAATCACAGATGTTACGTTCGCTCCCGTTTTCTTCTAGTGCATAAGATTCGTAGCATTGATTTTTATACGCTCCAATCGTACGCTCAACTCTGAGTGACGTACTTCAGTTCAGTTCGCGCCCTGTAGTTTCAAACTTTATTATTATTTTTTTTTAAACTAAGCCTCAGAATCAAAAATTAAAAAATATAGGGTCTATCAATTTTAAAAAACTTTCGAATAAACCAATAAAAAAAATACTTAACGGCCCTATTTCTTTTAGTGATCAGGAAGAAGTCCTAACAAATTTCTTGTATAATTTTAAGAAAGGAAGCTGACAGTAAATTGTAAATGTAGTTGTTTTAATAATTAGTTTTTACTGTTTACTGTATATGTGGTAGACAAAAAAGTTCTGACAACTGCTAATATTAGTGCCAACAAAATGTTCGAAATTTAGAGAATTGTCCTCAAACTAAAACTTACGTAAATGTAAATTTATACGATTTTAAATATTAATAACATGTGTACTTGTCACCAGCGATCCTTATAATACTTACAATTAGTTCTTCATACATGGCAAGGTTTCACGAAAAATCTTGTGCTGAAATTGATAAAAACGTAATAAGCAGATTGTCTATGTTGCCACGGTTAACAATCGTTTTAATAATAAATAACAAACAAAATTAATAAATTAAATGAAACAAAAAATTAAAATTAAATTAAACGTTCAAATTGTGTACCCTTGGCAGCTTGACAGTAACCTAAACGATTTTTAAAGTTTTCCTGATAATTCCCTAAGATATCAGCAGTTATTCACTGAACTTCTGCTCAGATTCTGATTTTTAGATCATCCAAAGTTTTGGTCAAGTGGTTTAAATTTTACTCTTCAGTTATCCCCAAAGGAAGAAGTCCAGCGGAGCCATATCTGGTGCTCTTGTAGGCCACTCAATTCTCCCATCTTCTCCCAATCCATTGATTAGGAAATAATTTGCTTAAATAGCACGAATAGGGACGGCATAGTGTGGTGGCGTTGAAATTGAGTTGAGTTAACATTATCGCGAAATCTGGTCTTTATGGAAAGAATGAGATCGTGTTGTAACAACCTAAATATCTTTCCAGTACTATTCCATACCACATGTGCGACTCTCTTGCTCACTTGGGTAGCTCAATACCGACAATTTTGTCTGTTTACTTGTCCACTCAATGTTGCCAAGTTTCAAAAAATTATGTTTTTGACGAAATATTCGTCGTTGCAAGATTGTGCCAACTGCTCACAAAATTGCTCTTTCCTATCAAAATCGTCTTCGTGGAGCTCGTAAATGAGGTTTACTTTATAGAGATGATATTTTATGGTTTTTAATATTTTGTGAACAGTTAATTTACTAATGGCCAGATTTGACCCAATATCCCTTACAGTAACATGATGGTTTTCTTGCACAAGTAAAACCACGTTTTGTCGAATCTCACTTGGAACATTTGTTTAACCAGACTTTGAGAGATTTCGTACATGCCCATCTTCAAAATTAGTTATAACTCGGTTTACCATACTTTGGCTAATGGGCTGGCGATCAGGATATGTTGCATTGAAGAGGTTAACTATTTTTTTTTGAAAAACCCCAACTCCATACACAGAATTTCGATTCTTTCCCACTCGGACAAATTTGTCAATTTGTAATTGCAAAAAATTTAAATCTTTGGATCCGCTTCTACCCTTGGACCCTACTACATTTTATCTGTAAATTAGGGGATCTTTACAGACACTGTATATTACGCAAGTTTAGCAGACTTTCTTAAACTGTTATACTTCCAAATTGTACGTTTCTAAACTGGAAAGGTTGTACAATTGCTGCATCTCCGATTTCCTTGGTCTGAAGCGTTACGACCACGTGAATTACCATAGAAATCCGCGAGGAATGCATAAAATGTTGTTCAATTCAATGTTTTAGAATACTGCTACATGGTAATTTCTGCTGAATGTCTTCTCATAAATTGACACTCTAACAACTCGAAGGCTCCAAAGATATTTATTCAACTCTCCGAAACAGGTGTGGAATTAGGCATAGATTTGAGAAAATATTCTGTTTTGTACACAGGGTGCTGCAGAGAATAGAGTGATTTTAATTAATTAATAAGTATACCTACTATTTATCTTTATTAACTAAAGTAAATTAACTCAGCGCAACGTCTATTAACAAAAATAATGTTTTTCTGTAAGCACCCAGTAGCTTTTCCGTCAACATCCATTACCCTTTTCAGCATTTTCAGAGGAATTTCTTTAATCTGTTCCTGTACACGGTTTCTTAACACTCAAATGGATCCTTTACCACTAAAAACCTTAGATTTCAAGTACTTGGATGTGTACAATGGAAATGAACTTCATCGCTCATATTCACCCAAATTGTAATTTATTTCCATTGTCCAGTGCCGTTACTGGATGAATGATTTAAATCCTACATATAAAATCTGTCGCATACTAGAGTCACAAATCTTGCGTGCCAGATTATGACGATGCGTAGATTGACGCGCACTGCACTCAAATTCTTGTTAGCTTCTAATTGTGTAACTTATTATTAAATTTGTCCAGCAATTCATATTGATCTCGTATATGATTGCTCGCGTTTTTATAAAATCGCGTGTTGCGCTTCCATCCAATTCTCTAATGCAGCTAAAACCCTTTCAAGCGTTTCATAAGATTCCGGTGCCGCTTTCCCTTCACTCATGTCAAATCCAAAGAAACGCTCTTGTAAAATCACCCGAGTTGTAGACGATAACAGACCCGCACATTGAAATGTCTAAAAATGTATGACACTCCCGAACGAATATCGTAATGATAATAATATAAATATTTTGTAATGTTTATTTTGTATGTCTTGCCAGACATTTCGAAATGAAATAAACTTGAAAAGATAATTAACAACAACGAATTAAACTTAAGAATCTTAAACAATAACGCTGTTCCTATTATTAATAAATATTCTGGTCGGCAAAACCAGTACATGCTCCAGTATCCTAATATATTGATCGGATGTAAGCCGGCTATAAATTTGTGTTTATTTTCTCGGTCCATAACTATAAATAATAACCCAAAGATATTCTCCCATTTTTTTATTTTATTGAATATGATTGATGTCTTGAACTATTTCGTCGCTATAGGTGTTGGACATCATGGAACGGCAAAACATGTATTCGTCTTATAGAATGATTCCTAATTATTATTTAAACAGTTTTGCTTCATTTTGGGTAAAATTGTCAGCTTTACGGCCTACACACGATAGTGAATGCACAAAAATAGCACTTAGCCTGTCCTTGAATTGCCCTTTAATTAATCTGGAATTAATAAACGGTTTTTTACAAATTCAAAAGTGCGTATAAAAAATAAAATAAAATAATATGTGCAATATTAACATAAACGTCGCCCCTTTGAAAAGCTTAACATTCTTTTTGTACATTTTGTTGATATTGTCTTAATTCGACCTCCCTACTTATTGAGTGTTGCTAATTTAAAAAAACTATAGTCTAGTTTAATTGTAAACTTCGTTAATAGCGCGATGTAATTAATATACAGGGTTACTCAAAAGACTCGTTCGCTTTTAAAACGATTTCATCACTGAAGCATTAATCCTTTCCCTGAGTTCTTCCAATGTATTTGATAGTGGGGGCACGTAAACAAGATCCTTAATGTGCTCACAAAGAAAGAAATGACAGGGCGTTAAGTCAGGTGACCTAGGTGGTCAAGAAAATAACAGTAGGTCACTCGCAATCTAGCGATCCGGAGGCCAATCCAGCGATGCGAAAGTTGGTCATTCAGGTATCTGCGAACTTGCATACTCCTATGAGGGAACGCAAATAAAAATTATTTGATATATCGTTCATGTCTGTAGGTGTAATGATTTTGAATATATAACGTTTTAAATATGAATGAATCTTGTAATAACCCTATATACTAGAGATCCAAGAGACAAAATAAACGCTTTTATTAGAGCAAAAGCAATCAGTGGAGATTCAAATTGTCTTCGTACCTTGGTGATTGTTAATAAATTTTTGTTAAATACAGTCTTTCATTGGCATCTCAATTTTGTGGCTCATCGAGTTTGTTTTTAAGACGGAGAGGTAGATAGCGATGAACAATAATGCTACGAGTTTTATCCGTTTATATACACTTAACCCTTTAACGAATTTGATCGAATTGGAATACAAAAGTGTCATGCCAGCAGTCGTCAGCTTCAAAATCATGTATGTAATAAATTTGTTGCGGTTAAAAAGTTCGAAATCGAATTCATCTCTCATTATATCATCTGGCATGTCCGCCAGTTGACCTGCAGATTGTTCTATCTCTCCCACAAGTCCAAATCCAATTCCACCACGCGTGCTCTTTACTAATAGGTGAGGTGAGCAGGCAAGTTTTCTTAGAGTGCTTAACGGTAACCATGGTTCGCCTAGATACTGTATGCATGGAATAGGATCTTGAGGTCTTGTTGCAAAACGAACAGACGCAGAAGGTGTCCTCAAGCCACCCTAGTGATAACTATAAACGATACAATTCAATGGAAATGCCTCTGCTTTAGTGGACACACTTTTGTTCAGAACTATTGTATTACAGTAATGCAAATTAAAATCACCAGGTAGAACACACAACAACCAGTGGGAATAAAGAAATAACAATTTTATACGATTTTTCTTTGACGACATTTGTTTTTAAATTTGTAAATTAGGTGTATTGGATGTTTGATGGTTCTACTAAACGGGATGCATGTGATTAAACTTGCGATATTCGCGCATTAATATGCAATATTTGATTATTGATAATTTTTAAAGATGAAAAGTCAAAATCCGCCAGCGAAAGATGAGTTTAAATAATACGTGGAGAGGTCGTTTTTGTGGTAAAAGGAGGTTAACTTCAGTAATATCAATACTGCTTCGTTAATTAACTGAAACGGATATAATAGACTACACCAACATTGTAACTACACCATTAGTAATGTTCATCCTTGCGAACCGATCCCAGCAACACGAATGCTCGCATATCTTTGTATAATTGGAAGGTCTTGAATTAAAGACTTGGCGTTGAGAGCAGCCTCGTATACCTGATCGATGGGGGCTCGGACGACGACGGAATATCCACGAGGAGATAATACTCGCACCAATCCCTTGTTTGGATTACCTGTGCATGAACATAATACGAATGCATCAAATGATTCTAAATTTGTTTGCTGTTAAATAGCTTTCACAATTTCTTATTATCATAGATTTGAAAACTTTCGCAAAAGTGTCCAGTTAGCACAGCAAACCGTCTAAAATCGGAAAATTTATTCGTGGAATTTTGCAATACGCTACAACTTCGCGTACGCCGAAACACTACGTATTCGTAGGATTTCGGTTTTAAAATTAGAAATGGCTAACGTTTTAACTGATCGAAAAGATAAACAGAATCGAAAAATATGCCTTTAGAGAGAATGAGCCATCTTAAGTCACTAAATCGATTAAATAGAAACGTTGCGTTTATTTTATGGGACAACTAAATGAATTGAATGTGACGAATTTGGGTAATATAATACGATCACACTTGATAACAGTAACTGTGAAACCCGTGAAATAGAAAAATTTAGCCTAATATTTACAGCCTGAATTATAAAGATATTTTATCGGATACAAACAATTACCTGAAAAGTTAGTAAGAAATGCTGTCCATATCAGCTGGTGGATTTTTAAGTGGATACAGTCCACGAAATGTAATAAGCAGAATTCAAGCATTATATTAATGAATACAATTAGAAATGTAGTCCATTAGCTAAATTGGCTAGGATTGCTTCACTGAAGCAGTGGAGATCCAGACAGATCTTTTTCCAACTTAAATAACCAATTGGACTTTTCGTTGAATTCAACACTTTAACGGTGGCTTCAATAATGAACTTTCTTACTGTATCCAAACCAATTTCTGAAAATCAGTAAAAAGACCTGATCATCTTAGTTTTTGAACAGCTTGAACCGTACCTAAATTTGATTGTAGTTGAGGTTCAACGATTCTCCAAATTTTTAGATAGAAATATAGACTGTCACGTCAGTGTTTGTGTAACGTTGAACGTTGCTTCAGATTTTTCCCAGGATACACTACATAAAAAGTGATATAAGACAGAGCAAAAAGCCCTTGTGACATTTATTTAACGTATTGTTCTGTTATTAGTCATAAAAGTGTCTCAATATCTTCTAGAATTGAAATGCGCTTATTTAAAAATGTGCTTGAATAGTTCCTTATACGTTGAAAGACTACGAAAATTCCCAATCTCTCCCAGTCCTTCGCAGACTTCAGTTTGGGATTTCAAATGATTGAGTAAATGAGAAGACAGTGCCAATATTCTAGTGGATATCCCAAAGAAACAATAGCTGGAGTTGATGTCAAATTATCATATTTAGTTTTTAAGAATTTGGGAGAGTTTATTAAGTTGAGATTTGGAATTAGCAGCATTATCGGTTACCATACATTTGAATTTGGTATCGAAATTGTGTCCAGTTTACCTGGAATCCGTGTGTTGACGAGATGAGATTGTCACAAAACGAAGCGCTTTGACATTTCTTACACCTGATATAATGATGAAGGAAATGAATCCTTAAACAAAATTATGACCGGTGATAAAAGTTGGGTTTGTCATGTTACTCCAGAATTCAAACAACAGTCAATGGAGTGGAAAAAACAAAAATTTAAGACAACCATGTCGTCACTGGCAGCATCTTTCCATGAAGAGGGTATAGAAAAGTTGGTTTTTCGCTGCTACAAATGTCTGAACAATGGTGGCAAATAAGTAAAAAAATAGTTTAAGACATGCTCTTACATCTAAAAATAAATTTTGTTTTGAAAAAATGTTCTTATGGTCTTTTTTTTCAAAACAGTACTTATTTTCCGGACACGCCTGGTAGCACCTTTGGGATCAGTGTAGGCCTTCTCACATGCAGGAAAAGGAGCTACCGTAAAATGTCTTCATCTGATAATTTAGTCCGAAGTGTATTGATTATGATTAGTATTGAATTTCGTCCAATTAGAGTCTTCGTACGTTTCCAGTTGTACACTTGTATGTATGTAGGAAAGGGGAGGGTATGCTTCCGTATACAGCACCTAGGCCCCAACGGGCCCCTTGTACATCCTCCTGCACTCTCTCCGGATACATCAACCAGCCTAAGGAATTTCCGAAGGCTAGGATACGGCTCAGAGGTGTGTTCCTGATGCCATCTGCTCGGCCATTCCTCTCCGAAGTCTCTCATTCTGAGGTCTTGCAAAGTGGGGCATTCACACAAGATGTGTCGAACCGTCTCCGCGCTCTCTTCACAGAGGCGACAGAGAGGACTAACAGCAAGCTTAAGGTTATAAAGATGCTTGTTTACCTTACAGTGACGAGTCCCGTTACAGTTCGTAAAGCGTTTCTACCAAGCCTTACGAAAGACAAGATTGCCTTTGCTGAGGGATAATGTAATACTTTCTTAGAGAGATGGCAGCCCTTAACCCTATCCCACCAGTTCATAAACTTTTTGTGGGTAAAATCTTTAACTATCTCAATCTGAGTTGACAAGGACGGAGCGATTATCGGTTCAGGCGGACATGCCGCTCGCTTGGCAGCTCTTTTGGCAAGCCTATCAGCGTGCTTGTTACCTGAACAAGTCGAGTATCCTCTTGTCCAATGAAGTATAAAAGAGTTATGCACTGCGGCCTTCTCCAATGTAAGATGAAGACCCATAACAAGTCCTGAGGTAATTGTTATTTTACTCAGGGCTAAAATAGCTTGTTTACTGTCAGTGTGTTACTGTCAGGGCAAGAGGATAGTTGTATGACGATTAATTCCGCCTGTATGACGATGGTACTTTTACCTAGAGGTTCAGATACGTGGAGTCGGAGATCGTACGAGAAAACTCCGGCTTCAGCTCCTTCCCCTCTCCTTGAACCATCAGTGTAGATTTTAAGGCTGTTTTTTACCTCTACTTCTGTGGAACTTGGGTGGGTGAGATATTTCTTCGTGAAAATGTGTTGTAGAGGTGTGAAGTCTGTTATACATTCCAGAATTGGTGGGTAGTCCACCATTTCATTCCAGAGAATGGCATTTTTACTATATCTCTCACCCATTAGAATTTCTGCTGCTCGTAGTCGAATCTGTAAGGTCTTTGACCACCATACTACTGCACCATATGTAAGCATAGGTCGGATTACAGCCGTATAAATCCAGAGGGCATTTCTAGGTGACAAACCCCATGTCTTACCTATAGCCTATTATCTAGGTGGGCTCTCCATGTCATTTTATTGTCAAGTGTGATGCCCATGATATTTGACTTCTTTTGACAATGGAGTATTAGCAAGGGATGGCATTCTGGGCTTGCCAAACTTCCTTACCCGTGTGAAAAGAATCAACTCTGTTGTACACTTAAAAATAGACTGATTTAACTTTGTCTAATGTGCAAGACATTGCACTGAAGAGCTCATGAGCATCATTCCGATGTCAATAATAATTTTTGTAAAAACTTTGATGCTGACTTACATCTATAGGAAATCACCAAACTTTTTCAACGTTTCCCACAAAGTATTTTTTAAATTACCCTAGAAATAAATTTGTTATCCGGATTAGTATTTTTTATAAAGCTCCAAAACAAATATTTATGTTCATTTGTTGAAAAATATGTATTGTATTTTGTTTTGAAAATAGTATTTTGTAACGCAATAATTGTAAATATTCTATGAAACATTTGTTTCTTACCTGTTTATTTGAGTAAAAAAATATTCATTGTATAACTCATGATAAAAAATCCAAATAAGACACATAATTTATTTGATTAATGACGAAAGATAACTATTAACTAAATAAAAATAATTAAAAAAATCTAATATTTACCCAGTATTGGAAATGAAAGTTCTTTCCTTTTTAAGTCAAAGTTCGTCTGTCACTTTCATTACATAGAATTACCATTTAATAGAATGTCCCTTTTTCTTTTTAGAGTCATGAATAATTCATCTCTGAAATTAAGCTTCAAATTAGAATTCATTGAGGGCAAATGTCTCCCAAAAACCACTAATGTTATTTCTTCACTAAAATCTTTTACATTTTTTTCTATAAAATCTTCCAATTAATTTTTTTAGAATTGTTTCTAATAAAATCTAGTTTTTTAGGAGTGTTGTTCAAGCTTGGTATGAATGTGAAGATTGCGGGTTTTCTTGTCACCACAAGTGCTTATCGTCAATCGTTAGAGATTGTGCTCATATCATCGCCAGTGAAAGGGGTGGTTATGAACTGCGTATTTGTCCGGAAACTGGAATGAGCGCACAGAAATATTTGTGTGCTGAGTGTAAAACACCTTTGGCAGTCAGTAAGTAAAGTTATCTCAATAATTCTTTCATAATTTTATCTGTATACATCAGCTGTACCTAAAGGATTATCTTATTTGGTCAAATTGATTCTACCAGGTAAAAAATAATAACTAATTAATGAGTTTGATTTTAACGTGCATTCTAATAGATTATACACCTAGATTATTTACATAGTTGTTCGCATGTCTTTTTATAATTTATTTTTTATGCGTGTTTTAAGAGAAATTAAACAAATATATTTAAAAATAAGTTATATAGAAAAAATAATTATTTTCTTTAGGTATGGGCATGGATATAAGACGTTGTGACTATAATGGTATGTATTACTGTTCAGCTTGTCATTGGGGAAGTTTAGCAGTAACACCAGCGCGTGTAGTACATAATTGGGACATGACACCACATCCTGTGTGCCAAGCAAGTTTACAACAGCTCAAAGTAACATTAAATAGGCCTTATATTGATTTAGAAAAAGAAAATCCGAAATTATTTACACTTGTTCATGAGTTAAATTTAGTTAAAAGATGCCGACAAGAACTTCACGGAATGCGAAAGTATTTATTAATTTGTCGCATCGCTAAAGAGGATCATTTGTTATGGAAATGTGTTGAAATACCGCATTTAATTGAAACGGTCAATTTGTATAGTTTGCAAGATTTGGTGAATACCGAGAGTGGTGAATTAATAACTAAGTTGCATAATTTGTATCAGATTTTTTCGAATCATATTAAAAAGGATTGCCAGATTTGTAAGGGTAGAGGTCACATATGCGAGATTTGTTCAAATACGGAAGAATTGTTTCCTTTTGATGCGATCGCCGTCCTTTGTCCTGATTGTGGTGCTGTTTATCATAAAAATTGTTTCAGCCGAAAGAACAACGTTTGCCTGAAATGCATTCGCATCAAAGAGAGGCTTAAGAAGGCTGAAATTAGCAATGACGATGATTAATCTGTGATATATGTATGTTTTTATAGTATCGAGTTTACATGTTTTCATCAATTTTTAAATGTGTTGTTTCTTTTAATCAGTTTAAATTATTTTTTTATTAATGTTTCTCTGTGGAAAAGTTTATATCTATGGAGATAATGTGATTACGGAGTTTTTAATAGTTCAAAAGTAAACAGCTTTTAAAATATAATAAATAAATAAGGTGTTTTGATACTTTAAAATATGTTGTTTTTTTTATGATCAATAAGAAACCCTTTTTATTTGACCCGTTTTTTGTGTAGACACGTCATTGTATGAAAAAATTTTCCTTGGATTTTGCTAATTTACGCGTGCGTGTATACCCCAATACCCTCATAAAAATCCCTTAACCTAGCACATTCATTATGTAAGTGAATCTTGAATACCACGAATATTCCCCATAAAATATACTATGCTATAAATGTTCCTTGGGATTAGATTTATGAACGTTACTGAATAATCCTTAGAGAATAAACAGAATGGGAAACAATATGCTGTGAATTATTTCCTGTTTAATCGTTTATTTGAGTCTGTTCACTTTCAAAATTTCAATTACACGTGAGTTGGGTCAATTAGAAATTTGTAATCATATTGAATTTTTTTGAAACAACTCTTTATATAACTAAATTTTTATATAAAAATCCTTTTTTGTTTACTAAATGCTTTTACTACATGCTTTTGGTTTTTGGTGGACCTGAATTTTTGAAACATTTACATATTGACGAATATTAATCCTCATAAAAAAAACAAAATTGGGTCAAAAATGACCGTGAACAATTTTTAAAATAACGCAAGTGCTTTAGCCGTTAGGTGTTATTATGTAATGAAAAATTTGTTGACCTATATTCCCACTGTCGCAGCAGAACCGCTTTTTATGGATGTTAATACATTTATTAACAACCATATTATATGTTATGGTTGTTGTAAAAATTATTTATTTTGATTGGTTCCTATGCTTGTCTTTTAACACAAAAATTACTTTATTTTGTTTTGCAAGTAAAAAAGAAATGTTTTGTTTTAATGGAACCTACATAACGATATATTTGTTCTAGAATTATGTGCTAATACAGAAAATTTAATGTTTTAGGTAACCCTGTTCTTCTTGTTATTCTTTACATATAACCAATATCGTCAATAGCTTTGGTGCTTCCATTAGCCAAAACCAACAACCCATCTCATTTGAAAGATCTTAGGCCTATAACTATTTTGCCTGTTCTGTCGAAGATTTTTGAAAGAATAATTGCTACCAGACTGAGAGAGCACTTGGAGAGATTTAGTATCCTTCCTAGCAAACAGTCTGGATTTAGGCCTGGTTTTAGTTGCTCATCTGCTCGGTTGGATGTGACCGACGATATTTTTCGGGCGATGGTTGTGGGTCTCAGCACCGCACTTGTACTACTTGATTTCTACTTTGATGTACTGCATCATGAAACTCTCTTTTCAATTCTTCATTTCATTGGTCTATCAGATGCAGCTATATGCTTGTTTAGAAGCTACTTCTGCGACAGATTACAATTAGTTGACTTTAACGATAAATTGTCTAGACCAGGTAGTATCACATTGGGAGTGCCACAGGGTTCCATTTTGGGCCCAATACTTTATCTTGTTTGCACTGCGAATTTGTATAGCCGACTCTCGTTCTGTAATGTTCATATGTATGCTGATGATACGCTGTTCTAAATCGGATGTTTTGGCTGCACGGGATAATATAAATAAAGATCTGAACAATCTAATCACGCTCGCGTTTAGGCACTGCCTATGATCAATCCTTCGAAGTCGTCGGTTGTTGTCTTTGGGTGTGGTGGTGTTCCTGATTGTTTCACTGTGGCCCCTGGTATATGTGTCAATGGTCAAATGCAAAATGTGGTAACTGATGCACGAAACTTGGTCTTGGTTGTCGACTCTGAGTTGAGATTTAGTAAACATATAAGTAACTTGCTTCGGCGAGCGTACGCAACATTGAAACTTTTATATTCGGGCCGTCATTTTTTAGACCATCAGTTGAAGATACGTTTGTGTGACGCTTTGGTGAATTGACTTCGTGTTTATTGCTAAAATTCAACGGGCACAAAATTCGTGCTTGCGTTTTATTTATATACATATGTAAAAAGAGACGTTCGACGAATATGTCCAGGCGCCGGACCCTCCACAAAGCGTGTTTTTATCATAAAGTGATTCTGTACAAATCCCCACCTTACTTGTATCAGAAAATAAGTTTCCGCAGCGATGTTCATAACATTACCGTTAGGGATAGGCATACTCTAACAATACCCCGACATCGTTTACAATTATTTAAACGATCTTTTTCGTATTGTATGCCGAATGTTTATAACAAAATTGCGGATTCGATAAAGCAGGGAATGTACTGGGTTTCAAGGCGAATTTTAAAACATGTCTGTACGAACAGTAGATAATTTTTTTTTTGCATCTACCTCTGTATATTCCTTCCTTTCGATTCTTCTTCGCTTATAATAAATTTAATTGAATTTAATTTGAATTTTTTTGTTAATTACTACTTAAGTTTTTATAATTCCTCGGTAGGGCCAATGAAAAACAAGGTACTTGTGTACCTTGACTTGGTCCTGTTATTGGCAGTTCTGTTATTATTTTTGTGCTATTGTATTCTTTATATGTTGTAGAGCTAATAAAGAAATAAATAAAAATAAATATCTTCTCGTGGCAAGAAGTAGATATTAATATGCATAATTTTCATCATTGAGAAGATGAAGTGTCTTCGGGAATATGGTCACTAAAGAAAATTTTCTGTTCAATTCATAGTACTTATTAGCATTGGGCCAATTTATTTTCATAATGGCGGATACTGAGTATCTCAATGTATTGAAACATTTTGTAGATGCAATGCCATTAAACGTTCTTCCTAATAATGTTTACATCTTTTATGAACCTCCAGTTTGCTTTGTCCGTAATGTAAGAGTATGGTTGGTTGAATACATACTTGCCGAATAGATGATTTGGTCACAGAGGTTATACCTTATGGCCCGCGGAAAGAGAATATCTGTGCAACGCTTCCCCAGCACGCCGACGAAATGAGAGATAGAAATACGACAGTATTAGTAATAATACCACAAAGACTTGGCTGTATTATCCGAAAGATATATTAGATTACTTTAATGTTTACTTCATAGCAATAAGTAAATTTTTAGCAGTAGGGTAGTATGATACAATGGATGTGTGAAACTGTTCAAGTGTTAGCTTTATATTGGATCCGACGAGCAAGACCTACCACCAGCAAATTTTTTAGACAATTTATTTGTATTCACCTTTATTCTACTGGAGGATTACAGGATGATGTGTACTGCCCCCTGAAGTCTGAAGTGATAATCCTTGATCGGTTCAGACATAACTACTCCATTTTATCCTAAAACAGTTTGTGGTATGTCAAAATTATATAACATTTACCGTGAGTATTACAATTAGTAATGATATTCGCGTCAAGTTCATAACTGGGCTAGCACTCACTTCTTATGTTAACTCCAGTATTTAAATCGCAAAGAAGTGATTTATTTATTTCATTTTGGTTGCTAAATATTTTGATTTTCATTTTTTTAATACTATATGTATAATTTGAACTCTGTTCATATTTTGCGAGATCTGCATATACATGACAGAATAGTGTTATTTACCACATTGGAAAATATTAATGTTTTTTTTTTTCATTAAAAAAAAATTCTTTCCACGGATTACCGCTATAGATTTATATTTGGAAAATTCTTTAATCTGAAATCTGGTATTGAGCGTGTCTTGACGTTCTGATGGACTATAAGGGCGTTGTTATAATTATGAGTAACTTCAATATTATGATTTGCAATAGGATCCGCAATGAAAGGCAATAATATCTTTGTTAATGTGTTCATTAAAATGATTAATGGCAGGTTCAGTTTGTGTTTTGTTGCAAATAATACCTCAGACTATCATGGGCAATTTACTTCTGCTACTGTGTAGCAGAACGATTAAAGTTAAAGTTATACCATATCCTTTGCACTCTTACAGATTTTCTCTGAGGATGTCCTTGAAAGCAATTATTTTAGCGATACCTACCTTCTTATGTGTTCGAGTATTGGATGGTGAGCAAGCGATTTATATGATGTTCCCTCTTAAGTAATTAAGTGGAACATAAGCATAACTAACAAATTTGTAAGGTAAGTATATGAAGAAGTGATACACAATTCACTAATTCCGCCACGACAGCCCTGAGTTGATCGAGTATCGAGAGGATCGAGAGTTGCCGTACCGGTCCCAAGCTCGGATAAATGCGGAGGCAAAACTTTTTTAAACGTGATGTAAATTAGTTACCACAAGAAAAGATAATAGTATAAATAAAGTAGAAATTTAGTAGAAAGAGAAAGAAGGTAGAATATACTCGTAGATATGTACTAATCACAGAAGGGAATATGGCCAGCATCCATATGATGGAAGATCTTCCATATGGACTTCCAATTGAGAGCATTAAAGTGAGAAGTTAAGAAAACCGTACAATTAAGTAGAATTAATTCAAACGCCGATCTTCCACTTAATGTACCTAAAACAGACTTAAATATAAAGTGGGGGACAACAATAGATGGGTAGGGGATGCAAGTGCAGACGACCAGCGGGGTACTGGATGAAATGAGAATAAGCAGGGCAACTTATCGAACATTTTAGTATGAATTTGGAAAGTACTGCTGCACCTACTTATTACGACCATATCGCTGTACAAAAAAGGATGTGCGACAAATATAGATAACCTGACTCTTAAGTACAACATGTCACTAATAAAATCCAAATGAGTGAAGAACAACAAGGTTTTAGAAAAAATCGCTCTATCATCTCTATTTCATCATCAAGCAGGTTATTGAAAAAAGCAATAGAGCATAACAAACCTGCCTTTATTACTAAACAATAAACTATCAATTCAATCTCGATGATAAGAAGGACCAAGACCATGACGATAGCAAGAATACCCAGTAGATGTAACATAAACCCCGTAGCAACAAGATCATCGGACAAGTATCGGAATTTAATTATTTTGTGCGCTAAGGCACACAGTCTGGAGAAGGAACTATATGTCGATTACATAACAAAATCAAGAATATATAAGGCATGTGTGACAGCTGTTATGACATATGTAGGGTATACAAGTGCGGAGGCGGCAGAAAAAAACAAGTGTACCGTACAAATGAGATGAAAATTCTGGAAACAAAAC